CTGCATCTCCTGCCAGCCATCTCCTCTGAGGAGAGGACAGCCATGGGTCCACTCCACTTGTCTGCTTCATCTCCATCCTTTCCGCCCCTCCTCCTGCCTGTTTAAACGGCAGCATCCTTCCCAAATCATCGCTATTGTTCTGGCTCCTTTCCACCCTTGCAGCTGCCACCTCTGTGTGGCCTTTGTCTCCTGGGGCTCAGATCAGACTGAGGCGTCCGCTGACTTCCCTGGAGAGCAATCGGTGTTGGAACAGGCTGGGGGGCTAGAAAGATAGGGTCACCGGATTTAGAAGTGCACCCAAATCAGACGCCCACACCCCACCCCCAGCCACGGAGCTGGCTAACCCTCGGGTGTGTGTGTGTGTGTGTGTGTGCATGCATGCATCTGTGTGCTAAGTGTATGTTGTGTGTCATGAAAGAGAATTGTGTTTATACACAGGGTGCCCCTGCCATCTGCCTGTTATTCCCAGCTGTGACCTGCTTTGGCCTGTGGAAAGTAAGATGCTTTTGTTAGAAGCCCGAGGCTCCACTCCTTTTTCTTGCCTTCAGCACTCTGGTGTGTTCCGGGCAGGCCTGTGGCAGCGGGAGGTGTTGATTGGGCTGTAGTCCAGGCGGTCATGTTGGCAGTTGGGTGCCATGCCAACATGAGGACGCCAGACTTGAGTCAATGTTGCTGAAGAGTGCGTTGAGGTTTCAAGCCCTAGGGGCCCCCAGGGTGGTGGGTGTGGTGCCCTGCTCCCCTTCACGGTTCACTGGCTGCCCCCAGACTGCGCTGGGTTTTGCTCTTCCAGGGAGGAGGCGGTGAGAAATAAACAATGGGGCTAATTAGAGTCATTGCAGGTTTCCAGAAGAAAGCCCCTCCCCACCCGCTGCCACCTGCCCACCCAGACTGTAGCCTAAGCATAGCATATGCTGCATGCTGAAGCTTGTGTACTTTTTGCAGTAACGAACGGAGGGGAGGTGCCTCTTGGGCTCTACTGCCGAGTAGCTGTCACGCTTAGCTGTACCTCTGTGGTTCATGGAGGAACCGGACAGCGAACTGGGTCCCGGCCAGCATTCCTGGTCCTGGCATGCTTTCAATTATTATCCTATGCCCAGCCAGTTGAGCACCTTGTAATCTGTGTGCTTCTGCCCTCACAGGAGCCCTCCTAAGGCTCGGCCCACTCTTCTGAGGAGCATCCTTAGGCCGAGAGCTCTGAATGACTTGTTTGAGGTCACCGGACAGAAGACTATTCTGCTGGACATTCCTATCCCTTCCCTGACAAGAAGCTGCTCCTCAGGTGAAGTTCTACATGGTCCCGAGGACCCACAGGTGGCTGCTGCTGCTGCTGCTGCTGCTGCTGGCTGCAAGGGTGTGGTGGGTGGATTGTAGTGAGGATTTAGTATTCTGAACTATGGCCCAGCCAGGACCTTCGAAATGTGACTTGGTCCCTCTGGTACAGTGAGCTTCACAAGGCTGTCAAAGTCTGATGCAAGGTCACACTCCCCCGTGGCTAGCACAGCGCCTCACAGGGGGCTCTGGGAATGCTGTAAAAGGACCTGGCCAGTCTGGCTGCTAGCAAGGCTGTGCTCATGACTAAGGGGGCCCTGCCCTTTGAGGGAGGCAGAAGGGGATGTGGTCAGTAGGATGGCAGGCACCGCCCTCCCAGAGAGCTGAGGGAGGATGCAGGAAGGATGGGGACATGTGGCCTCTGAGACTGCACTCGTACTTCACAAGCATGGGGGCAAAGGGAATGGGAAGTGCCAGGAGCCCAAGAGCAGGGTCCTGAGGTTCAGACCTCCATGCCTTGCGATGTGTGTCCAGGTTGGCTGGGATGCTGCTGCTGGCACTAAGAGCAGGCGTGGCCCGGGTGGGGAGGGGCATGTGCCATCCTTTTCCTGGGCAATGGTTTGCCCAGAGGCCACAATGCCTTACCCCTAGTTCCCCTATGGCAGACACAGTGCAGTTTTGTCCGGTCAGCTGCTGGAGCACGGGCCGTCTATGGATTTTATCCTGCCATGGACTGGATATCGGCAGAGGGCACCCTGACTTTGACCTTGGCCTCGGAGCTGCAGCTGAGGCCTCGGGGGTGAACCTGGGCTGTGAGAATGACATGGTGGCAGCCTGCACTGGGCTGTTTGCCAAGGCTGAGGGAGACAAGGGAGGGCAGAGTGCCAAACCCGTGGGGTGGCATGGGAGACAAAGGGATAGGCACTCCTGGCCTGCAGGATGGTGGCACTGCTCCCACACAGTGGGTGGGAGCCAGCCTGCAGGGGCTGCTGCTGCTTTTGTTCATTGGGTTTTATTTTTCTGCTCAGCAGGGTTTTGCTTTAATAACTTAGCTGGAAGCGGCAGTCAAGTACTTGCTACGGCTAATCCGCTGTGTTTACGGTGTGGTTTCTTTCAGATAAGTCGAACCCCAGTTAGTGGAAACAGCTCAGCCCCAAGGCAGCTTCCTGTGGGTGGGAAGTAGGGATGCTAGTCGAGCGAGAAAATACTGTCTCCTGAGCTCAGAACCACCCTGTTCCTCTGCCTCTAGGAGAACACAACAGGACCTCATGGGCTCCCTGGTGCCAAAGGTAACCATGATTCAAGGGTGTTGTGTGTCAGATCTTTTCCTGGGGAGACACAACACTCACCCCTGATAGCGAGTCCACAACAAACCAAAGTAGGGATCTCACTCAAGTTCAGCTTGAGGAAACAAGGAGTTTTACTGGGGTTACTTATAGGAATATGGGTGGGGGGGTGACTTACAGGAGCAGAAATGACTCAAAAACAGCTAAATCACCAAGGCCCACCTCAGCATAGCTGACAGCTCACACAAGCTGGGAACCTGGAGCACACTACACAGTCTGGAGGCAGCACAACAGGCTGGAGAATGTCCTTTCCAAGTGACTCTTGTCTAAAACTCTTCTAGGCTGCTTGGCTGGTTCCTGCTTCTCTCAGGCAGCTGTGCTTTGAAGTTTGGCTTCTCTGAGAGAAGTCTTTTATTGCATACTCTGGCATTAGGAGCATGGTAAATCTGGTAGATTTCAGGGACTTCCTGAAATCTATTTTGAGTTGTTTGCCTCCCTGTCTAGAGAGCTTCCCTTCAGTTTGTAATGTTTCAATATTGGTAAAAAACTGTTACATAAATCTGGTTTGTTGGTGGTGGCACAGGCCTTTAATCCCAGTACTCTGGAGGCAGAGGCAGGCAGATCTCTGTGAGTTTGAGGCCAGCCTTGTCTACAAAAGCTAGTTCCAGGACAGGCTCCAAAAACTGCAGCGAAACCCTGTCTTGAAAAACCAAAAAGACAAAAACAAAAACAAACAAAAAAAGCTGTTACATAACATAGTTCCAAGTCCCTGGAGATTTGATAGCCCTAGTACTTCAGGGCTGCCCACCCCCCAATCTTAACAGGCAGCAAAGTTAGAGACAGGATAGCAAGGCTGCAGAGGCCCTTCTGGGAAGGCTCTCTGGAGCAGAGAAGTCTAAAGCAGAGTTCTCTGAACCCCAAGGGTGCTGTGGTCATTCCCTGTTATTTTGCTTCCTCATGTCCTGGCTTGGGTTAGCATGCCCCAGTCTGGCATAATCCTAGCTGGCTTTCTAGTCACCTCTTGAAGCATGTTTGGAAAAGCCTAGAAGGCTTACATGTTTTCCAGACATCTAAAAATACCTGATGCCACCCTGTAGTTTGCTCATAGAGACCACTGATCTCTTAAAAATGTCATCTGGAACACATGAATGGGGTTTGCTTCAGGTCTGCCCATGGGAGCAGATGCGCCCAGGCAGGATGACTCTAGGCCAGCAGTCAAGGCAGAACCATGTAGTTACTACTGCCAAGAGGAATACTTGACTGTTCTAGTAGACCTGGGCCCCCAGGTGGCAGGGCTCACCCACCACATCCCCTTGCTTCTGTTCCAAAGCAGTGTCAGACGCCTGTCATGGGTATGCTGCTCACCCCACTAAGGGTATCACACCCACAGACCTTTCTAGAAACAGCCAGCTAGAACGCCTCTTCTCCCTCAGCCCTGGGAAAGCAGTAGATGGAGAAGCTGGCTCCAGGTCTGTCCAGGGCCCTGGAACTCAACTCTGGGTCCCATCTTTTCTGTGCCAGAATGTCCTGGCTATGAGGGAGAGCCTAGGAACTGGTGGGACACAGGTAGCCTCGGCTCACAATCAGGCAGTCTGTCTTTGGATTGCTGTCTTTGGGGATTTGTGTCCCTTTCCCTAGATCAGACCCGTCAGTAACAGTCTCAGGGATGGAGTATAGCTCAGAGGTAGAGGCTCACCCAACATACGCAAGCCCTGTAAACCATCTCCTGCACCATTAAGGAACAGAAACATCAAGTCTTGGGTATTTTCATGCTGTAGTCTTCTGTTCTCTGGGAACTCTTGGGAAGAAAAGCCCCAAGTCCTGTGGGATTCCTGATTCTGTCCGCACCTTCCCTTCCCAGCCAACAGGCAACAAAGGGCCTGTGAGGTGCCCACAATCCCCTGGGTGGGGCGTGGTCCCGGTGTCCAAGGTTATCCTGCTTAGGGCTGGGCTTTGAGTCCTTTGTTTGTGGAACTGTGCTGAGCATAGGGCTTACCAACCTCAGAACCCAATCCTTCCCACCAGATTGACGTTCAGAAGTCTCTGTTGAATGTGTGCTCCCCAGAATGTCAGGGGCAGCTGTTGGCTAGAGCCACACATAGGGGTTGATGCCTCAGGCCGTCACTCAGTGACACGGGGTTATTATGCTGTCATGGGTCACCTGGAATTCTCTCCCACCCCATGAGAAGCAGCCCATCAGGAAGTCCCACAGCCATTGTCTACCCAGGGCTAATACTCATTGTCCCTACCCATCTCTAATGACTGTTCTGAGGGCTGGAGGACCCATACTGGACAGTACCCAGAGCAAGGCAGTAGCCAGTCCATGATGGGCACTGGGTGGTAGACCTGCAGGCTACCATGTGACTATACCGTTAGACCTGGGCCCCCAGGTGGTGTGGCTTGTCACCCATACCCTCCTGCCTTGGTGCAATGCCAACCCCAGCCATGGGTGTGCTGCCCACCTTCCGAAGGGTAACCTGGCAGACCTGCCCCAGGGACAGCCAGCAAGAAGGTCTCTACTCCCCCAAGGCCTCAGGGAGAATGGCGAGTCAGAAGGCCACCATCAAGCCCAGGTAGTGTTTGTGTGGACGTAACAAAACTATCAGCACTGTTACTAGTCCTGTGGTCACCTTCCCCCAGGGATGGCGTCTTTGTGGGAGGTGGGAAGATGCGGAGGTCCAGTGTGTGGGTCTCTGACCAAAACCTGCTTGTGCCTTTGGGCTTGGCCTGGCTCCTCCTAACCTCAATTTAGTCATCCATAAATTGAACTTATCATGGTACCAACCTTAAAAGGTTGTGGTTAGTGTCTGAGAATGTCAGGGCGTGTCCATGTGGTGGTGGCATTTTTCGGTTCCTCCTGTCTTTCTCAGGCTTGAGGTAGAGATAAGGAGAAAGGGGTTCTGCGGATCACAGGACTCCATCTGAGATCTTCCTCTCTGACTGGCTGTGCTGTCACTCTCTCCAAGGGAAGAAGAGTTCCATCCTCATGCAGCCAAGGACAGCTTTCTGAGGTGGCCTATGCTTTCCCAGAAGCTGGGGACTCTTGGGGCAACTCCCTCGGTGGCCTGGTCTGATTGTATTAAGGAGCCAAGCCCCTACATGAAGACCTGCAGCCTGCCCGTGTGGTCCCCGTGCTTGGACACCAGGGATGCGAACAGCTCAGTGTCATCTGGCCGACTCTCTGGCTCTTCAGGCGGGCATGATTCATGCGCACTTTTCCATGGGCCCTGGAAAGAAAGGCCACCCCTGGTGTTGGGGCCCCAGCGTCAGCCCAGGAAGAGTAACCCTCGTCTGGAGCAGTTGAGGGACAAGATCCGGGCCCAGGCACAGTGGCAGGCTAGCTGTGCCTCCCTGGGCACCTCTGTCCCCTCTAGTGCCTCGTGCCTCTACAAGACCTCCTCGACAGGATTCCAGAAGAAGACCCCAAGGATGACAAATGACCTTCCGGTGGCTGCTTGCCCAGGTCAGTGGCTGCTTTGCCCAGCAGGTGTGGACCACAGACTGTGGGAAAAGAGGAGGGTTGATTCCAGAAAGGTAGTGTTTCAGACCAGGCTATGATGGTGACCGAGGCACACGGGACAGACAACCCTCGAGACAGACAACTGGGAGCTACATGTTGTATGGGAGAGATGGAGCCTTGGAAGACAGAGACCCAGAGGGCCTGTGGGAGATGAAGGAGGGACCTAGTTTCCTGGGAGTGGGATCTTTGTTTTGTCTCTGCAGCCTCGGGGGCTGTTCAAACAGACCTGGGCACCATTAGGTGCAACCAGCAAAGCCCACCTGCTACCCACAGCAAGACAGGTTGTGTTTTCTGGAGCGGGAAAGGCGGGTGACAGTTAAACAAATACCTCAAGAGCTTTTTGGTGGAGACACTGGAGGCCAGGCAGCTGCTTAGGGGTTTCTCTGAGGATCTCTTTTCTAAGGCAATAGGTTTGTTTTCAAAAACTGTGGTAAAGTACAGAACATAAAATTAGTTGTTGTAATAGGAGCAGCGGGGCTGCGTCCCCGGCACCCGGCCGCCCACATGGCTAACTTATGCCCCGAAATAATTACACGGACACTGTATTCTTTTTAAACACTGCTTGGCCCATTAGCTCTAGCCCTTACTGGCTAATTCTGATATCTTGATCAACCCATCTCTAATAAACTGTGTAGCACCGGTCTTACCGGGAAAGATTCAGCATGTCTGACCTGGCGGCTTGCTTCATCGCATGCGTCTCAGAGAGCAGAGCTATTGCGTCTGCCCGGGAGAGGGGAGCATGGCGTCACTGAGCTCACTTCCTCTTCCTCCCAGCATTCTGTTCTGTTTACTCCACCCACCTATGTTCTAACCTATCAGGGCACGCAGTTTCTTTATTTAATTAACCAATGACCCCCATCAATTAGTCATGTTACTGTTTTAAAAATCGATTACATTTATTTATTTGTGTGTGTATGTATATGTGTGTGGGATCATTGCCACAGCCCAGCTGTGGAGGTCAAGAACGGCTTGCAGGAGTCAGGGGCTCTCCTTCTATCATCCATCCTGGGAATGGAACTTAAGATGTGGGCCTTCACAACAAGTACCTTCACCTGCTGAGTCATGGCTCCAGTCCCATCTTTACCATTTAAAAATGTTCTGTTCACTGTAGGCACCTGCTTCTTGTTATGTAGCCATCACCACCATCCTTCTCTAGAATGACCCATCCTTCATTCCAACCCCAACAGCCTATCCCCTCCCCAGCCCCTGGCACCTGCCTCCTTCTGCTTCCTGTCTCTGTGGGTTTGATGACTCTGGGTACCTCAGAAATGGGGGCCCATGGGTCTTGTCCTTCTGTGACTTTCTATCAAGGAGTACTTTTTTTTTTTTTTTTGGAAAGTACAGTTAAGTACAGAGGAAGCACAAAGTTCGTCACCAGTCACCGTGTACCATACCCCCACGACTGCCCTACTCTGCTCTCTGAGATGCGTGTTAGTATACACTGTGACAAAATATTGGGAAAAAAAAGAATCTAGAAGAGGATTTTCTTTGGCCTGTGTTTCAGAGGGCTCTGTCCACGGTCATCTATTGTTTCTGGACCTGCTATAAGGCAAGAGCATCATGGTGCAAGGACATTGCAGAGACAACCTGCATACATGGTGCAAGGGCGTGGCACGGAGACACCCTGCACACGTGGTGCGAGGGCATGGCGCAGACAACCTGCATGCGTGGTGCAAGGGCGTGGTGGAGACACCCTGCACACGTGGTGCAAGGGCGTGGTGGAGACAACCTGCATGCGTGGTGCGAGGGCATGGCGCAGACAACCTGCATGCGTGGTGCAAGGGCGTGGTGGAGACAACCTGCACACCACGCAGTGAACGTGAAGCAGAGACAGAGATAAGGACCCAGGGATAAAATGTACCCTGCAAAGACACACTCTGTCCTCCCATCAAGCTCCCCTAGCCTATTTGGCTAGAAACCCATCAGTGGATTAACACATTCCTAGAATTAGCATCTGGTCACACCTCAGGTGCTGTCACCATTTGGGATCAAGCCTTCAACACAGGAGCTTTTGAAACCTTTTAATATCAAAACCATACCATTCTGCCGTGGACTCTGAGGTCTTACCTCAGAGCAAAAATCCACTGAGCCCATCTCCAAGAAGCTCAAAGTTTCTAGAATTGCTAAAAGATCCAATCAAATTTTCCTCTGAGACTCAAGGCAGAAAGTTTTGTTTTTCTAAGATACAATGATATGGGCCAAACACGTCCATTTCAAAGAAAACAAAGAAACATCAAGGAGGTGTTAGGCCAAGCTGAGATTGAAACTATCAGGAAAATATTATATCCTATAGCTTAATTTTTTTTTAACATACGTACTGTTTTGCCTGTGTGTCTGAATGTGCACTACATGTGTGCCTTGGTGCCCATGGAGGCCAGAAGATGAACTCATATAAACACATCAGTATGAGCTGCCTGTAGTGGCTGCTGGGAGCCAAACCAGTATCTTCTGCAATAACAGCAAGTGTGCTTAATCACTGAGCCATCCGTCCAGCCCCTGTAGTATGTATTATGTAGTTTGTGTCCAGCATTTAGGGTGCATGGAACATGGTATGAACTCCAAAGGGCTTGGGCAGTCCCACCTCTAGGCCCTACTTGCTGCAGCCCCTGCATTCTCTCTCCTGGGCTGTTTGTGCTGCTGCCGGCAGCTTTCCTCAGCACGTCTACTGCCCAGGAAGCTCTAACTTCCTGGGGTCTCTTTTGCAGCTTAGGTTTCACCTTCAGAGCTTCAGACTCCATCCTTCCGAGGGCAAACAATTTGCAGGAATCTTGGCTTTGCCTCCCAAGACTTTGCTTTGAAATCTCATCAGGAGCCTCCACAAGCTCGTGATCTGTGTTCTCTGTGCCTCAAAACTAGCATCACATGGACAACGCTAAGGTCTGCCACCAGCCTAGCTGTAGTGGGCCCACTTGGACTTTGGCTTCAGTGGCCTTTGAGTGCCTAGGTGTCCCTCTGCAAGCAGGCTGCCCCAGCAGCTCTCTCCTGAAATTAATATTCATGCAGATCATCCTCAGCTCCGACGTTGCGAAAGGCTCTTTTCGGGTCAAACCAAAGGCTTTTCAAATCCTTCTCTGCTTCTTGCTTCTGATTTTCACTGCAAACCTGGCTAAAAGCCAGCAATAGCCATGCTATAGCTTGAACACTGCATTGCTTGGAATTTTTTTCTCTGAAATTAAACAATTCATCACCTTTAAACTCAGCCTCATAAACAGTCTCAGAGAGAAAGCAAAGTGGAAAGTTTTCTGCTACAATACACGAGGTCTCAAATCTAACTCCTTGCAGAACCCAGACTCTTAAGAGCACAGGCTCTATTGTCAGTACTGTGACCTCTGTGTTTATGCCAAAGTCACCTCGTGTGATGACTAATTTCACTTGTCAATTTGATGAGCTGTAGAATCACCTGGGCAATAAGTTTATGGGAAATGGACTTTAAAAAAAAATAATTCTTGGGTTGGAGAGATGGCTCAGTGATTGAGTACTGACTCTTCCAGAGGTCCTGAGTTCAATTCCCAGCAACCGGTGGCTCATAACCAAACCATCTGTAATGAGATCTGGTGCCCTCTTCTGGCCTGCAGGCATGCCTGTAGGCAGAACACTGTATACATAATAAATAAATAAATAATCCTGCCCGATGGCGGTAACACATGCCTTTAGTCCCAGCTCTTGGGAGGCAGAGGCAGGTGTATGTCTGTGAGTTCGAGACCAGCCTGGTCTACAGAGGGAATTCCAGGACAGCCAAGACTGTTACACAGAGAGGCCCTGTCTTAAAAAATCAAAACCAAACCAAAGCAAAACAAAGCAAAATCCTCTCTGTATGCATGATGCATGTGTGTGGTGGCATGTGTTCCATGACAAGTGTGTGAAGGTCAGAGGACAACTTCGTAGCATTAGTTCTCTCTGTCCACCGTTATGAGGGCTCTGTGGATTGAACTCAGGTTACCAAACTTACATGGCCATGTGGTTTTACCTCCTGAACCATCTTGCTGGCCCTAGGATTATCTCAGTTGTATTAATTGAGTTGTCCGTGGTGGGTGGCACCATTCTCTGGGCTTGGGTCCTAGACTGTGTAAAAAGAAGAAAGTTGGCCGGTTAGAGGGCTCTGCTCATAGTTGGCCTGAGAAAGCTTCCCGGGCCAAGATGTTTATGCTGGCTTTGACGAGACTGTGTGACTTCTTAGCTAGTCACCATGGTATATGTCCAGATGGCCTTGTGGGATGTGTTTTCTGGCCTGAGGTGTTGAGCAGAGGAACAATTTAAAGGCTTACAGGGGCTCTAAACTGGAACTCCATTCTGGAAGTTACTTCGCTCTGATCTCTTCTTTCCATTCTCTTGGCTCAGGCATCCTTCGTGCAGCTGAACATAGAAGCAAAGATCGGGCACCTCTCAGCCTGAGACGGGGGCTCTCGAGGATTCCCCAGCACCATGCTTCAGGTGAGTGGCTCTAGGTTGGACCCTGAGACTAACAAGGACACTTATGGTTAGAAAGGACCCTGGCTAGAAAGGGATCGGTCAGGGAGTGGATGACATCCTGCTATGCTTAGGAGCTTGGATTCTTACTCTCTGCCTCTCCAACGAAGGAGTCATGGTAGGAATGGACCAGGTGCTGTCTTCCAGCAAAGGCATCCTTTGTGCAGAGAAGGGCCACGTCCTTCCCACAGCCTTGTAGGCCCACCTGTTCTGAACCCACACCTCGAGATCCCTTCTAACCTTGAGGCTTGTTATTCCGTTTTGTAGATGGAAGGCAATGCCCAAGATGACCTTGCCTGGCCCTGGGGGTACTGAAGGATGGGTGGTGGGGCTGAAGACTTTTACATCCCAACAGCTATGGTTTTGCTCAACAAAAAGGAACCTGGATGAAGAGATAGCAGGAGCCTCAACCCTGTCTGAGGATGTTGGGCTCAGGGGCTGCTGGTTAGACTGCATGTTAGACTCTGTGTAGACTTTTAGGAGGTTTTGTAGATGCAAGGGAGGGAATGGAGAGGGAGGGGCATAGGTGATAGCTAGGGTAAAGGCTGGTCAGTATTCCAGCTGGCACCTGTTGGACAGCAGGCATAGGTGTATTGGGGCACTCCCTGCCATGTGGTTGCGAGTCAATGGCAGATGTAGGCAGGGTCCCAAGCTGGCTGAGGGACAGGTCAGACAGGACCTCCTGGAGCCTTGCCCTATCTTCTCTTCTGCCTTCCACAAAATCCTGTTCTAGCAATTGTCAGATAAGCCATCTTTTCTTCCATACCATGAGTGTGGCTGCTGGGCTACAGATCAAGTACGGAATGCAGAAGCCACAGCCCTCCCAGGCCCACTGGTCCCCACCTCTTGACTGTCACACTTTCCTTTTCCTCTGAAAGCAAGACATGCAGGAAAGCCTCGGACCTACTGTTCTGCTTCCTATCTCTGTAGCTTTGATGACGCTGGGCATGTCACATGACAGGAATCCCACAGGACATGTCCTCCTCCTCCCCCGTCTTCCTCCTCCTGCTTCTCTTTTCCTCTTTCTCTTCCTCTTAGTGCTCTTCCTCTTTCCTGTTTAGATAGGACCTCACTAGTAGCTTAGGTTGGCCTTGAACTTGTCCTCCTACTTCAGCCTCCCAAGTGAACAAGTTCACTCTAGTTGGCCACTGAACTTCCTGTGGAGCTTTGAAGAGGCTCTCCCCCATCAGAGTGATGCCAACATGTCTGTCAATCAGAGTGGACTCTTCATTTCCAGCCTCCATCTTCCTTCCCTGGTAGGAGTCATGTCCAGGGCAAAGACGCTACTCCTGGAATTCCTTGCGACTTGGTTCATTCAATCATTCCTTCACTCAGCAAACACTAACCCAGGTTCTGGGGTCAAGGTGAATGTGTTGCCTGCTTGCAGGTTGTCTGATTAAGGTTCCCCGCACCCTCTCTCCCCTTCTCCTCACTCAGTTCCAAGGACAAACATCAAAAGGATCAGAAGTACTTCTTACAAAAGAGAGACTCCAAAGTCATCTGTCCCCCGCAGAACTGTCAAAGGCAGAGGTGAGATTTGCTACTAGGGACCACAGAGTCTGTGATTCTAGCTGGTGAGGGTGACACAAGGCTCTTGATTCTGTGCTGGGGACATGGCTGCCAACTCTACCACAGGCAAGGAAGCTTGGGAGTCTTAAGATCTGAAGATTCCTTGTTGTGAAGCGGAAGTCCACAACTCCCCAAGTGATGTGAGCTGTCCTTTAAGCTTCTGCAGATGGGAATGACATAAAGCCGTTTGGCCACACGCCAAGTGTTGTCATCCTGCTGCTCTCTCAGTAACATGCTGAAAAGATGGGGAAGGTGGAAGCCCTGGCTCTCCCCTTTGTCTGACATGTGTGGACACTTTGCTGTGTGCCTTCCCTGATTTGGGATCCGGGATTTCAGGTGAAAGCATGTTTGGGCAGTGGGGGTGGGGAGGCTCTGTGAGCTGCCTGCAGGTACGTGTTCTGCCCTGACCCATGGGATGGCTGCCAGTTTTATGGCAGGTCCTCAGGGGATCTAGATAGTGACCTGTGGGTGGCAGGTGAGCCCGGTGGGCTTCTATCTAGGATAGATTGAGCTTGGATCCTTTTTTTGTTTTTTGAGAAAGGGTTTCTCTGTTTCAGTTCTGACTATCCTGAGACTTGCTCTGTAGACCAGGCTGGCCTTGAATTCATAGGGATTTGCCTGCCTCTGCCTCCTGAGTGCTGGAATTAAAGGAGCGTGCCACCACTGCCTGGCCTGAGCTTGGATCCTTATAGATACCCAGCCTCCCAGTCAGGGTGCTGCCTCTATAGCTTGTGGGGGGTAAACTGGAGGGTTCCCCCCCATCTAGCTGGACCCCAACGAAAGGCCATATTTTCAGATGTTGGGGGGTCAGGAAGAGTCTAGGATGTCTTTGAGACATGTTGAGAGAGAGGTGCCTCTGCTCCCAAGCAAAGCCGTGTCTTCTAGGATAACGAGTCTCTGCCTACACACAAGTCTTTCAGAGGTGATACAGGGTAGGGAGGACAAACACCTTTGGCACCCAAGAGTGAGAGACACGGTAACAACAAGAAGGTTCTGGAAGGTGCCCTGAAAATGCATAAAATACAACCACCTTCCGCATCATCATCATCCCCCCCACCCCGCCCCGCTTTCTGTTGTTTTGTTTTAATGGCTTGCTTGAAAAATGACCTGCCGTCTGCCTGACACAGGGTCAGAGGGCGTGCCACTGACTGCATTCATCATCGTAGTCACCTTGTCACCCTGATGGTAGTGACCATTAGTTTCTGTCAGTGACGAAGCCACAGCTGGGCTAAGGAGAGATGAGTTTGGGTTCAGGGGTCAGAGCCACAGGACTTGGGAATTGGATGAATTAGAAATTTGCTGTAGTTAACAAAAAATTAAATCACAATAGATATAAAATATTCATCCATCCGGGCCAAAGGAAAATGAAGCACGATATTTAATTTCAGATTATATCACCTCGCTTTGCATTTTTTATCATAGATTAGGTCGGTCTGGAGCTTTGACAGGGCACTTGGGGACTCCATCCATTTCCACAGATTAAAAATCCTCCCGTAAAAAAATTAATTGCCATTAAACTGCTCGGCAGAAGAAAAAATGTGCCCATCAGGACCCATTTATCGACCAGGACTCCTCTGGTGGGCTAATGGGGAGGCTGGATGAGTGTGAGAGGCCAGTGGGGGCTGTCTTCCCTACATGGGGCCTCTGGCCCAGTGCCTGGCAGAGAGAGCACATGATCAGGTGGGTGCGGCACATAAAGGCAGGACTGAAATGCTTCTTGGGAAGCTCAACCATCCCCCTCCCTACTGAAACCCGGGTGTGACCAGCCTGGGCAAACACCTCATCCTGAGACTGAAGAATTCTGCTCCTATTCTCACCGGCCTGAAAAGGCAGGAACCATGCTAGGCCCTGTCAGGAGGCACTGTTAAACACAGTTAAACACTGTCAAACCTCTTATAGATGGAGAAGTCTAGGCACTAGCCCTGTAGCCATGGCTGATGGACAGCAGCTGGGATTTGCACCAAGTCTGGACTATGAGGCCCCAAGGTTAACCTTTCTTGGCCTGGTGTCCTGTTCTGCAGCAGACCGTCTTAAACGGTCTCTGTTCAATTATGCAAACATCCGCTAAAACAAAAGCACATTTGCATACTAATGGATGCCTGTGCTTATTTATTTGCATATTTTGCATAAAGGATTAAATCTCTCCTGAATATTTGATAGCGCAGGATGCGAAAGCATCCTCAAGGTTTTTCAAACTTGATTGATTTTCACATAAATATGTGCCAGGCGTGTGCTTAGGGCTTTTTCAGAAATCGTTGGAAATTCTGCCCCAACCCCCAAAATCCACTTGACAGTTGTTTTTTTAAGTTTATATATGAGTGTTTTACCTATCTGGATCTATATGCACCATATACATTCCTGGAGCCTCTGGAAGCTAGAAGAGGGTTGCTGATCCCCTGGAACTGGAGCTACAGGCAGTTGTGAGCCACCATGTGGGTGCTGGGAATTGAACCCCGGTCCTGTGGAAGAGCAGTCAGTGCTCTTAACCACTGAGCCATATCTCCAGCCCCTTAAAGATTTTTTTAAAAGTGAAACTCAAGTCAGTAATTCAAAGAGCAGTTTTTTAATTTTTTTTTATTTTATTGACCTATATATTTTTTTTCTGCTCCCCTCCCTTTCTCTCTTCTCCCTTTCTACCTCTCTCGTGGTCCCCATGCTCCCAATTTACTCAGGAGATCTTGTCTTACTTCCCATGTAGATAAGATCCATGTATGTCTCAGGGTCGTCGTTGTTGTCTAGGTTCTCTGGGATTATGAATTGTAGGCTGGTTTTCTTTGCTTTATGTTTAAAAACCACTTATGAGTGAGTACATATGATAATCGTCTTTTTTTTTGTTTTGTCTTGTTTTTTTTGTTTTTTATTTTTCGAGACAGGGTTTCTCTGTAGCTTTGGAGCCTGTCCTGGAGCTAGCTCTTGTAGACCAGGTTGGCCTCGAGCTTACAGAGCTTGCCTCTGCCTCCAGAGTGCTGGGATTAAAGGCGTGCACCACTGATTTTTTTTGGAGCTAATCTTGTTTCTTGCTACATAACTGAAGGTGTTTATGAGTTGTAGAAGTTTCTTGGTAGAATTTTTGTGACTGTTAAAGTAAGCTATTATATCATCAGCAAATAGTGAGAGTTTGACTTCTTTACCGATTTGTATCCCCTTGATCTCATCTCCTTTTGTTGTCTCATTGCGAGAATCTCAAGAACTATATTGAATAGATATGGAGAGAGTGGACAACCTTGTCTTGTTCATGGTTTCAGTTGGATCGCTTTGAGTGTCTCTCCATTTAGTTTGATGTTGGCTGTTGGCTTGCTGTATATTGCCTTTATTATGTTTAGGTATGTTCCTTGTATCCCTGCTCTTTCCAAGACTCAAAGAGCAGTTTTAAAAATCAAATACTCTATGGGGCAATAGTGGCACACACCTTTAATCCTTTCACTTGGGAGGCAGAGGTAGGGAGATCTCTGAGTTAAAGGCGAGTCTGGCCTACAGAGTGAGCTCCGGGACTACAGAGAGAAACCCTGTCTTGAAAAACTAAATCACTCTAACACAATATAATTCAGCTGTACTGATTTGAGACTCCCATACTGATGAATGGTCATAGGGAAGTACAATTTTATAATAAAACAACTTTGTCTCTAGAAAGACAAAATGTTTTGTGAGTATAATAAAATCTCTGTGGTTTATGAGATGCAGTGGTCTGGGATCTTGCTGAGGCACTTCAGGTGTATCTGTTGGAGTTGTGTGAAATGACGGCATGCACCGTGTGTCTGCCATGGGTTCAGAACTGAGGCTGCTGGGAATCTTTGTGATGTAACATGGACAAGCACTGCCAGAAGCATCCTGGATTCATGATGCATTGGATTTTTAAATTGATTTTGCATTAAATAGGGTTTTCGTTGCTGTGAAGAGACACCATGACCATGCAACTTTTATAAAGGAAAACATTTAATTGGAGCTGCCTTACAGTTTCAGAGATTTAGTCCATTATCATCATGGTGGGACACAGCGGCATACAGGCAGGCATGGTTCTGGGGAAGGAACTGAGAGTTCTACATCTTGATCTGGAGGCATCAGGAAGTAAACTGTTACACTGGGCGTAGCTTGAGCATAGGAGACCTCACGACCCACCCTCATAGTGACACACTTCTTCCAACAAGACTGTACCTACTCCAACAAGGCCATACCTTCTAATATTGCCATTCTCTATGAGCTTATGGGGGCCAATTACATTCACACTACCACATTCCACTCCATGGTCCCTATAAGCTTGTAACACTATCATAATGCAAAATGCATTTAAAAGTTCCAAAGTCCAACTTCAAAAGTCCCCATAGTCTATCACAGTTTTAACAATGTTTAAAAGTCCAAAGTTCAAAGTCTCTTCTGAGATACATGCAACCTCTTAACTGTAATTCCTTATGAAATCAAATCAAAAAAACAGATCACATACTTCCAACGTATAATGATACAGGATATCCATTACCTTTCCAAAGGAGAATATAGTGAGGAAATACTAGACCAAAGCAAAAATGAAAATAGCTAGGAAAACTTCAAACTCTGCCTCTTCATGTTTGACGTCAAAACACTCTTTAGATCTCCTTTCAGCTTTGTTGACCACAATGTACTTCTTCCTCTTGGGCTGTTCATTCTCTGTTAGTAGTTTTCCTCAGCAAGTTCCAGCATCTCTAACATCTTGGGGTCTCCAAGGCAATTCAGGCTCCACCCGTGTCATATGCCTTGGCCTTGGGGCAAGATCCTGAGGTCACCACTCCCTTTATTCCATTTCCTAATCTGTTTATCTCCTTGAACACAGGATTTAGCTCCATCCCACTTCCTGGTACCCCTTTTCTCAATCTGTACATTTTGCTTATTTCCGTTCTCAGCTTGCTTCTTTTCATTATAAATCTACATTAGAGTTAACACTACGGCAGCTCTTATAAGGAAAAACATTTAATTGGGGTGACTTACAGTTTCAGAGGTTTCGTCCATTATCATCATGGTGGGACATGGCAGCATGCAGCAGACATGGGACTGGGGGAGGAGTTCAGATGTCTACATCTTGATCTGAAGGCAACAGGAAGTGAACTGTCCCCTATATTGGGCATAGCTTGAGCATAGGAGACCTCAAACCCCACCCCCACAGTGACACACTTCCTCCAATAAGACCACACCTACTCCAACAAAGCTGCACCTCTGAATAGTGCCACTCCCTATGAGTTTATAAGGGTCCATTACATTCAAATTACCACAGATGCTGTGTGTCTAGAAACCTTTTACTGTAGCCATTGTTTTCTGCCCCCACATTTCAGTTTTGCAGAGCTAGCTGGACTGGGGGTGGTATGTCTGTGTCTGTAAGTATGCAGCCCCATATGGACCAAGACCTACAGTTTAAGAAGCTGGGGCCTAGAGAAAGCAAGGCCTGGAAGCCTTGTCCCCATGGCGGGTGTGGCTGGGTGCCCAAGATAGGTAGTTTCAGGACTGGAGAATTGAGTAGCCTGGAACAGCTCAGTGCAGCAGAGTTCTTTCCGGCTGAAGAGATCACTCAGTCTGTGCAAAATAGGGCTTTGTCTTTCTTTGGCCTGGATAGGTGACTATCATGATTTAACTACTTTTCGAGAGGTTTTTTAATTTAAAAATATTTAATTTAAATTTTATGTGTATGGGCATTCTGCTTATATGTATGTCTGTGCACTATTTGCATGCCTGGTGCCTAAAAAGGCCAGAAGAGGGTGTAAGCTTTTTGGGAACTGCAGTTAGTGTGCTGCCATGTGGGTGTTGGATTAGAGCCAGGAAGCAGCCAGTGCTCTTAACTGCTGAGCCCTCTCTTCAGTCCCCAATGGCTTAATTTTCTAAACTATGGCAGATTGCTGATTCAGTTCCCAGCTGACAGGTCAGTGGAGGAGGAGGACTGAGAAGGACTTAACTCAGGTACGCTGCCCTCAGGGGTCAATGCTCTGCATCATCCGAGCTGTGATGGGCTAGCCATAGGAAACAGGGCAAGTCCTGCCTGAGTCCACATGGAGATGTGATTCCAAGCCTCAGATAGTGTCACCTTGAGCAGGAACGTGGGTGGAGTGCCTGGGAACACACCAGGTGTGATCTGAGTTTTGCAGAGCTGGTTGGGCCCAAAGTAGTATGTCTGTGTCTGTGAGCAATTTGTGTGTGTGAGAGCTTGTGTGTGCATGTGCACTGCACACATGCGAGTGTAAAAAGCATATGTATATGGTTGCTTGTGCATTTGAGTGCGTGGTCATGTCTGAATGAGTGAATGCCTGTTTGTGAGCATATGAGCATGTGGAAATGTGTAAGCATGTGTGCTAATGTGAAAGAACATATATGAGTTATGTGAGCCTGTATGTGAATGTATGAGTATGTGGATTATCATGAGCTGAGAACCTGTGTGAATGGGTGAGTGTGTGCAAGCATGTGAACATGTGAATGTGTGTCTGTGTGTGAGCCTTGTGTACGCCTGTGTAAGAAAACTGTGAAGTATGGTTCATCCCATGAGGTGGCCTTCTAGAAAGAATTGCGAACATTTTGATAGTTGAATGCATTTTAAAGCAAGGACATGATGGGTGTACCCTGGCATGTCCATATTCTCTGGAGACAGAACGTTGTTTTGTTGTTGTTGTTGTTTTGTTTGTTTTGTTTTATTTCTCTGTGTAATCATCAGCCTGGCTGACCTGGAACTCACTCTGTAGACCAAGGCTGGCCTCCAATTCACAGAGCTCTGCCTGCTTCTGCCTCCCAAATCCTGGGATTAAAGGCGTGCGCTGCCACCACCCGGCAAGGAAGAACATACTGTGGTCTGCCACATCCGTAATTTACAGTAAGTTCACAATTGTCCTGCACAGACTTCCACGGAGCATATGAACCTGTGTGAACCTGTGTGTGTGTGTGAGCCCGTGGGAAACCGAGCAGTATAGCTTGAGAGAGTAAGAATGAACCTTGTGAGCATGTGGGAAAGTGTATACGAGTGTAAAAGCCTGCTTCCTTCCTGCTTTTGTGGGGCCCTGTGACTGGGGTCGTCATGGTGGCCAGTCAGCGCTGGTATTGGTGGATGCAATCTGAGATCATGGAGTAAAACCTCGATTGGCCGTGTTTGTTGTATGTCAGTGTCTGTTAAGGGCAGCTCAGCCACGCCGGTCATTTATTTCTGACTGTTTAGGAGGCCTAACGCCATCTCTGATCCTGGCCCCATTGCTGTGACTCTGGCCAGCTTCAGAGTGTATTAATTTCCCAGCTAAGGTATGTGGTTGTGACATGGCTTCCGTCGTGGCCCTGGCAGGAGCCCCTGGCTGAGTGGCTGGTTGTGGGTGTCACCGAGGCTGCGGCCTTGCTGTTGTTCCTGGTCAAATGTGAGCTGTGTGCCTAGGCTGGTGTGGAGTGCTCATGGGGAGAGTTGTTGTTGGGGAGTCTTTATTACCCTTGCTATTGAACAGGATCCTGGGGTTCACCATCAGTCACTCTGGGGTGCTCCTCACCCATGCTGGCTAGTGACTAAACATCTGGCTTTGTTCCCACAGGGGTTTGGATGTGAGGGGTTTCCCTGTGAGCCCTTGCGGGGTATGCCAAGTTGTCTCCAGAAGTGGTGTGAACCATTGCCAGTGGTCTGAGGGCCGTGGCCCGGCTGTGTGTTTTCTATTTAAGATTCTGAGTTGACTGGTGTGTACGCCTGGAGGAAAGGACAAGCCCTGGTGAGGCAGCTGCTTGGGCCCCCTCCTGCCCTCTCCCGGCTCCAGAGCAAGTCCCCCGCCACGGAATTAGGTACCTCTTGCCTCAGCCTTAGCCTGCTGTGTTTTGCTGTGGCATTTGTGAGTAGGCACAGAGATTTCTGTGCTGCCCCCCCCCGGGGGGGAGGGTGGAAACTGGGCAGCCTCTCGAGATTTCCCTGAGAGATAGACATTTGGGAGTAATTACCTTTACAAACCTGAAGAGAGCTTTTCTCAGCTTTGAGAGCAGATGTGCTACGTGGGCTTTTGTGAAGAGAGTGGATGGAAATGGCCACTCCTGTGGGGGACACCTGCCGCCCTTCCGTGTACTCCGCCAACACATGCGGAGCTGGCTCACTCAAATGCAGCACTTACCCTCCTGTGCGCTGATCATAAGGGCAGAGACTGAGAGGGAGCTTGTGGGGCCAAGGCCAAGGTCTCCCTGGTCACCCCATGATGTCCCGAATGGAGGAACAAGTCTGTTCTTTCCCCCAGCCCACAGACCCCAACACTCCTTCATCGCTTGTCTTTGCAGGCTCTGACAAGGAAGCAGGAACCGTCGGGGACACATCTGTCCACACCTGGTTCTCTAAGCTTCCCTGTGCCCGTGGTGACCAGCAGGTTTCTGAGCACACACCCAACCTAGCTTTCCATGATCAGTCAGGAACTATCCAGGGTGCCATTGAGATCCTACAAGACCTGCGCCAGCAAATCCAGACTGGTCTGGAGCTTGCCAGGCGCCCCAGGGTGGCAAGGAAGCTCTCGTCATCAAAGCCAAAGCCACAAAACCTGGCAGGGAAGAGCCAGCAGGGACTCCAGAACCCCTGGGACATTCAGGGCTCCCCAAAGAGTGCTTGGATTGCAACAGAAGGGAAATGCTCTTCCTTGGGTAGGGCTGGAAATTTGCACAGCCAGCAACACTGGAAGAAAGCGGCGGCTGAGCGGGAGTCTTGTCCACAGAGAGCTTGGGCAGCACAGGGACAACACACCTCCTTCCAGAGGCCTGGAAGCACCCCAGAAAAGCCAGACTCCTTCTCCCAGCGGCCCTGGAGTGCCGTGGCTTGGCAAACCAGTCCACAGAGGGCCTGGGAAAATCTAGGACAGGATCCCTCCTTCCAGAGGTCTGGAAGCCCCCCTAAAAAGTCAGGCCCCTTCTCACAGCGACCCTGGAGCGCTCTGGCTGGCCAAGCTTGTTCACAGAGGACTTACACAGCTGGTACAGACTGGGAGGTTCCTGGGTACAGCCCATGGAGCTCTGAGGCGAGGGTACATCCTGTTCTCCAGCAGCCCTGGAGTAGGGCCTCTGTTCAGAGTCCCTACAGTAAGGAAAAAAGTGCTGGCCCTCCTCCTTCAAAAGTCAAGCCAGCTTGGACAGAGCCTGCCCAGGACTTCCCTCAGAGCAAACCAGCAAAGGAGCAAGACACCCTGGAGACCCCACCCTGTCCAAGGCCACGGCAGCCTCTGGGCCAGCCACGTAACTCTGAGTCCTTGCGTGACTTCATGCGCCGGAAGGCCCAGGCCCGACGCCAACAGGCCATGGAGCAGAAGACCTTGGCTGCACACGCTCTGGAGCTGCGGAACCAGAGGCTGCAGGAGCTATATCGGAAACAGCGAGAGGCCATCCTGGGCAAGGCTGTCCCTGTGGTTTCCCAGAGGAGCCCTGGCATCGTCACCTTTGTTCCCAGTTCCGTACAGTCTGAGGTATGTGCTCTGTGGGTGATGAGAAGGGAATTAGCCAAGCCTTTGAGCCTGAGGCTCTTTGCTACCCCGCCTGCCTACTGCCCATCAACAGGTGGGTGGTTGGGTGCCACTGGGCCCTGGGGGGTGAGATGGCATTGGCTCTGGGCAGCTTGAGAGAATACCTGGGATGGAGACAATGCTAATGAGAAGAGGATAAGCTTGGGACACCTTTGTCCCTGGCTGGGATGGAGGCAATGTTGGGGAATGTTCCTAGCTGAACTTGGTTCCTGTTTGATTGTCTGGGGGGAGTTCCAGCACAGTCCCCACAGATAGACAGGACTAGAGGGACCTATTTGCCTCTTCACCCCTAATTCTTTGAAATGCCCTGGTAGAGGCTGGAGCCCAACTCTGACCTGAAATGAGGGTGTGGGTCTTATGTGTCCTCTCTGCTTTAGGACCTGGAAGCCCCCGGGAGTCTCAGGTCACCACTGCAGAAGTGGAGCAAGGTGACATCTGGCATGGTGCTTGGGAACCAGGAGGCTCCAGACAGGTGGGTGGGGATGGCAGGGATCCTCTGCCTGGGCAAAAATATAGGGAGCTCGGAGTGGAGGAGGGGAGGATGGATGCTGGGGGCTCTCAGGACATTGCTCATGACAGTGTGGCTCCTTGGGGACCAGCCGTGGCAATCCCGGTGCTTTATGGAGCAGACACTGACTGCTGTGTTTTGCTGAGGTGTGAAAGTCACTGTGATTAGAAGCAACACATTTGTGTAGATATGTGTGCATGCACATGAATGGACTTTGTGTGTATACAGTTCCACATGTTTGTGTGTTTGTAGGCCAGAGGTTGACCTCAGATATTGGAACTCAGGAGTTATCAACCTTGGGTATTTGAGTCAGGGTCTCTCCCTGGTACCTGTGTCTTGCTAATTAGGATAGACTAGCCAGCCAGTGAGCTCCAGGAATTCTCCTGCCTCCGCTCCCCTAACATTGGGATAATAAAGATGGACCACCATGTCTGTTTTGTTTTAATGTGGATTCTGGAAAGTAAATCCACGCTTATACGGTAGGCATGTTACTGACTGAGTTCTCTACAGAACAGCCTTTTTGTTTGTTTCTTGTTTTTTGTTTTTCAAGACAGGGTTTCTCTGTGTAATGGTCCTGGCTGTCTTGGAACTCACTTTGTTGACCTGGCTGGCCTTGAACTCACAGAGATCTTCCTGCCTTTGCCTCCCAAGTACTGGAATCTTTTTTTTTCCTTTTTATTTATGTATTTATTTTATGACTGCATGTATGCCTATGTAAGGATGTTGTATCCTGGAACTGGAGTTAACAACAGCTGTGAGCTGCCATGTGGGAGCTGGGATTTGAACCCATATCCTTTGGAAGAGCAGCCAGTGTTCTTAACCACTGAGCCATCTCTCCAGCCCATCTTTTCTTTTCTTTCCTTCTTTCTTTCTTTCTTCCTCCCTCCCTTCCTCCTTTTCTCTCTCTCTCTCTCTCTCTCTCTCTCTCTCTCCCTTTCTTTTTGTTTGTTTTTGTTGTGGGGGGGTGTTTGTTTTTCAAGACAGGGCCTCCTGGTGTAGTTCTGGCTGTCTTAAAACTTGCTTTATATACCAGACTGGCCTAGAACTCACAGAGATCTGCCTACCTTTACCTTCCAAGTGGTAGCTGCCCAGAACAACTTATTTTTAACATAGAAATGTATTTAGTTAGTATTGTGTGTATGGAGGTGAGGACGTGCTGTATAGCTTGCCTGTGGAGGTCAGAGGACAACTTGGTGGAGGTGGCTCTCTCCTGCCACCTTCACATGAATTCCAAGGACTGAACTCAGGTTGCCAGGCTTATGTAGCAAGAGCCTTTACCCACTGAGACATCCTGCCTGCTCCCAGCCTGTTTTTTAAATGCACAGGATGAGAACATTGTTGTCTGCAAATGTTACCTGTCTGTTACCTCCAGCATCCCTATAGGAGATCCACACTGTAAGCTGCCAGCCCCACCCCCTACTCCACACTGTAAGGTGCCAGCCCCACCCCCAGCCCTCAGAAGGTAGCTTCTGACACTTTCTGGCAGTGGTGTCCTGAGTGTCCTTCCCTTTGTTCCCTGTTGGGAAGATGTAGACGCAGCTTTTGCAGCCTGCTGGTGCACCAGGGTCTCCTCACATTTCCTTTATCCAGTGCTGTGACTCAGGTTAATCTCCCATTCAGCTACCCCAAGGGGTGCTCCTGGAATCCCTGCACTTGTCTGAACATCTGCCTTTGTTTTTCCTGATGCTCTCCCTGGTGTTCGTGCCACACAACAGTCCAGAACAGCAGACCCCTAAATGCCGAAATACCCAAAGGAAAACAGATTCCTTTCATTTCAAAGATCCTTTTATTCATTATATAGACAGTGTTCTGGCCTGTAGGGCACCAGATCTCATTACAGATGGCTGTGAGCCGCCACGTGGTTGCTGGAAATTGAACTTAGGACCTCTGGAAGAGCAGCCAGTGTTCCTAACCTCTGAGTCATCTCTCTAGCCCCCCAAACAAATTTCTAATATTGAAAATTAAATTCTGGAAACATACAAAAATTGAAGTCTTTAAAGAGATATATTGACATTTCAAAGGGAGATTTGCTTGAGAGACATAAATGTAGCAGAACATTCCAGAGGCCACTTTATGCAGTATAATAGGCAAGCAGGACACAGGTACTTGTCATTAATACTCAGGGACAATCACAGTGAATATATGGTGGCTGTGGGCAGACAGGCCACACTCAGTAGGAGACAGGGCACTATCTGTGTGGCTGAGTACCCAGCCTTCTCATCTTAGTCATCTGGATAAGGGATAAGCTATCCTCTGGGGAGAGATGTCACCCAAAGAGTGGGTCCCAACAGTTTACTCTTCCACCGAAGTGGGTCTGTAGGAAAGACATCTCACAGGCCAAGGGGGCCTCAGTGTTTCCTGGGTGCACATTTTGTGCACCCAAGCCAGTGTATGAATGTGCTCTTTGCAGAGCCACACTGACAGAAAGCGCCAAGAAATGATTCATTAGAGCTCTCTAGACGTCTTTGTGAATTTACATCTCCTGCCCTGTGAGGATGTGAGTGAAGTGAAAACACAAATGAAAGACAGCATCGACAAATCAGATGTGGGAAAAGAACCCCACAGAATAAAATGAGACAGAATGTGAAGGGTTTGTGACGAAGGCCACGGAGGCCACAGGGTGGACATGGACAGCGTATACAGGCCATCTCTGAGAGATGCTACCTGCCTGGTCTTGGGCTTGTTCGGGAGTCTTAGTCATGACAGAAAGCTTCTGTTTTTCTGTTAGGGCCTTGCTTCTTGGGGACCGTTTTCCCGTTCACTGAAGGTCTCCCAAATACTGGACTTTGGAGAATCCCTTGCAGGTACAAATATGTCCCCAGGATTCTAGGCATTCTTCGGGATGCAGTAGCCGAGGCCATGCAGAGAGCAGAAGGATCCAAGCCACAATGCCTGGCTTGCCACCCTCTCATGCAGGCTTTTCCCCCCTAGGAACTTAGGTTTTCCAGACACGAGCTCCCAGGGTTTGGGTTTCAATATTCAGAATTTTAATATTTCAGGACCAGGATTTTAGACTTATGAGAAATTTATTCTTTCAAGATTTCAACATGTGGGTTTGTGATTGGCACTGAGTACCTGAAAGAGGACTTCACCTGTGTGTCCAGCTCCTAACCCATTACTCCTGTTCTGGGTAGCCCACCTGCACCCATCACAGCAGGCTGGGAACACATGGCCCAGCCACAGGGACCCAGAGGTCCACTCCAGGATGATGTATGGGGTTTGTGTGCACTGTGTTTCTCTGTGGAGTTCTTTGAGGAACTTGCAAGCTGTTTGCCACAGTGGCTTCAGCATCTCCCATCCCCACCAGTAACGTGTGCCCTTCTTTTCTTCCTCCTCCCCTCCTTCCTTCCCTCTCATTCCCTTCCATCACCACCAAAACAGGACAGCTCCTCCCCTCTTCCACCTCTGGATCTTGTCAGCCACTCCTTGGCCTGATCTCATTCTGGCCACCTGCTAAGGTACTCATGGCCAACACAGGAAGGCGAGGAGAAGGAGGAGACACAAGGGATTGGCAGCTCCTCATAGGAGATTGCTCCCAGAAATATCCTGCCCTAGGCTCACTAGGGACATTCATGGCTATGTTTTTGGCATTAATGTTGGGAGGAACTTTGAGATGGCCTCCTTGGTGCCTGCTCCTACCCCTCTGTATATTCCTTTAGCCGGATGGGATGGACGCTCCTCCTCCTCTTGACGCCTTTCCCCAGCTCCCTCCTTCCTTCTGCCCAGTCTTTCCCTGGCTGTATCCTGAGATATCATGTCTGAAGTGAAGCCTAGATGCCTGGATCTGTGAACTTCTAAAGCAGCCTCTATCTCCAAACAGAGGAGGACTCAGGTCCAACCAGTTGCCGTACCCATGGGTAGTCCTCAACAACCTGCATAGCTCCTCCAGCGTCCTGCAGTGTTAGAGGGGGTGTCCCCGTCACTGTGGGAAGCTGTAGACCTGTCTCTCTCTACTGCATCCTGGCCCCCTTTCTATTCCCACTCTTTAAAACTATACTGAAACACATATAACATTTACAACGATACCCATTTTTTAAATCCTCAATCCATCTGGATTTTGTTTTAAGTTTATGCTTAACTGATACATAAAAACATAAAAATTGTACATATGGATGGCTGGGGTACATGTGGTGTTTTGATACACGCACACATTGCATGATATTTAAATTAGGTTAAATGCATCCATCTCCAAACATTTATCATTTGTGTATGATAAAATATATTCAACATCCTTTTTTTCTAATCTTTTTTTGGTATTGTATGGTATGTTATTATAAAGGGCGATTAGAATAGCTTCAACTTTAGCCCAGTTGATCGGCTTCTTTCCGCTGGTGTCTCATACACCCTCCCCTGGTCTTCTGTGTTGGGAACTGAACCCAGAGCTTCACACCTGTTAGACAAGCCCTCTACCACTGAGCTATATCCCTTGCTTTTGTTTATTTATATACTTACTGTGCCCTGGCTGGCCTCAAACTCACCAAGATCCACCTGCCTCTGTCTCCTGAGTGCTGGGACTAAAGGTATTTACCCCCTTCCCAGCCTTTAAAACCACAACAAAACAAACAAAACCAGCCTTTTATTGAGTTGTATTAAGTTTATTAAGTTACCCAGGCAGGCATTAAACTCTTCCTGCCACAGTTGCCTAGGAAACTGGCTTTTTCAGGCCTGGGCCGCCGCCACCTAACTTCTTTTGTTGTTTGTTGTGATTCGCTTCTTTTTTTTTTTTTTATTTTTATTTGTTTGGAGACAGGGTCTCATTGTGCAGCTCTGACTGGTCTAGGGCTCATAGAGATGCTCCTCCCCCTGCTAGGAGGGATTAAAGGCGTATAACCTCACATCAGCATTTGCTCTGTGTTTTGGGTGAGGGTCTCACTGTGCAGTTTTTTTCAGCCTCTCGGAGTGCTGAGATTGCAGACATAGACTACCATGCCTGGTTTAACTTTTAGAGGCACATCCAGGGGCATCAATTCGTATTACTGTGCAGTCATCACTACCATCCATCCTCAGAACATTCTCTTCTCCCCCCTCCCCCCCACCACAATGGGTCCTCTGTCCCATTAACCGCAACCCAGAAGCCTTTGCCAGTCCCTGGCATCATCGTCTGTTGATCTGATGGCCTACATGAACTCAGACGTGTGGAATCCTGTGAGACTTGTCCTTTTGTGGCCGATGTTGCTCAGCTTGATGCCTCTGAGGTTCACCCCTGGTGTAACAGGGACCATTCCCTCTTCCTTCTTAAAGCTGAGAAACATCCCATTGTGGAGCACAGTTAGATATTGGGGTTCAACCTGAAGGTCAGAAAAGCAAAACAGCCAGCCGCTGACTCTGACCACTACCTCAGTCCAAAATGGTGATCCTCCCTCCAGGAATCTCAGAATGAGACTGTGTGAAAGAGCTGTCTCCTCGCATTTTGTGTTCCTCTCTAGAGTTGGGATTAAAGGCGTGCACTGCCTGGTTTCTATGGCAAACTAGTGTGGCTACTGGGAGGAAAGATGTGTGTCACCACTGCCTGGTCTGTAAGGCTGTCCAGTGGAGCTGTTTTACTCTTGATCTTCAGGCAAGCTTTATTTATTAAAATACAAATGAAATATCACTACACTGTTGTGTGGATGGGCCCCGTGTTGCCAAACCATCATCTGTTCATGGACCTCGTTTGTTTGTTTGTTGTTTAGCATTGTCTGTTGGGAGCATTGCTGCTGGGAGCATGATGTGCAGACATCTGTTCACACCCTGGCTTCTGGTACTTTTACCCAGACGGAGAATTGCCGGCAGTTGTGTTAATTTGGTGTTTGGTATGTGAAGACTCACCAGACTATTTCCCAGAGACGGTGGAGTCTGACATTCCTGCCAGCATGTGTCTCTATACCTCACCCACACTTGGTCCCCATTCTACTGAGCCACATGTGATATGATACATGGTGTCCTAGCCTTGACCTCTGGTCTGTGGTGAACCCTGACTCTCTCACAGATGGCCTCATTGTCTCTCCTTGCTGCACACGTGTTTGGTTTTTTTTTCGAGACAGGGTTTCTCTGTGGCTTTGGAGCCTGTCCTGGAACTAGCGCTGTAGACCAGGCTGGTCTCGAACTCACAGAGATCCGCCTGCCTCTGCCTCCCGAGTGCTGGGATTAAAGGCATGCGCCACCACCGCCTGGCTTGCACACGTGTGTTTTGCACATACGGTTCGACGCCGTGTTGCTGGGGATGAGTGTCCAATCACTCTTCTCTCTCTGCAGCTTCTGTCTGTGTTTGAACAAACCATGGAACTGTGCTGAGACCCAGAACACTGGATGCCCCCGGGAAGGCGTAAGTGGTGCCCCTCTGCTACTGTCTACTGATTCCTCCCCTGACCCCATAAAGCTCCAGGACCTGCCCTGGGGGCTATGTGTCTACCTGGACCCCCAGGACACTGAGCATCTGGGCCCATAGGGCCTCCCGCACTTCCAGTACAAGCAGGCCCGGCTGCAGGCACTGGAGACCATGGCCGATGTCCTCAAGCAGCGTATCGACATCTTAACCACCAAGTTACACAAGTCGACATCGCTGGACACAGCTGGTGACCTGGCCTCCGACATGCCGCCCTTGGGCCCCAGCACAGCACCTACCACCCCCACTCTCACGCCTCCCTCTTACCTCAGAAGTTTAGTGTCTGACGGGAGCAGAGGAACTCCCCAGGACTGGGTGGACACGCAGGGCAAGCCCCTTCTCCCCAGCACCTACGTCCAGGACAGCCCCAGCTGGAAGCCTCTGAGCTCAAACCTGGGGACTCACATTGAGAGCCAGCCCCAAGGTGGGACTGGGTGGTGGGCATCATGCCTATTGGCTGATCCTTGGGCTGGGAGCGACGGGGCCCCATTCCTTTTCCTGTCTGGGGATCAGGATGGGAGCTGCCCAGACAATGAGAGTAGTGACAATAGTAGATGCTCCCTGAGTCACATATAGCAAGACCATGTCGGGGGAGGGTGGAGGTTCTTCCCAAAGCCTGCTGCCTATTTGCCCCACCTTCCCAAGGGTCAAGAAGGCCAGCAAGGCCTCGATGCTCTGCAGGTCCTGTATCCAGCACCCCTGCCTCAGAGTCTCAGGTTCAGCCTTGCCTTGCTGGTTCATCAAGTCGTGGCGCCCTTTCCAAAGGTGCCATAGAGGAGAGACACCGGGAGCTGGAGAAGAAGCTGCAAAGAGAGATGGCTACTCTCCAGGCCCTCGGTGCCTGCATGAGGAGGTGAGAGCCCACCCCTCACGTCCCCTGTGGAGGGTCCTCCTGTTAGCCTAAGGCCCAGAGCCCAGAGTCTGGGCGCATCGGGCCGGTGGAGAGGGACATGGGTTGTACTGATTCTCATACTGGCCCACCTCACACATCTGGTTTACCTCTGGCCTGAGCCACTCTGGTCAGGGAGACATACTCACCGACAGACACTCCTTTGTGCTGGCCCGCAGTTAATGGGAGATGCATTTGTCCTAATTTCCTCATTGATTGCTAGCAGGGTGACCGTGTCTGAGGACGCTGACACAGGGTTCGTCAGCCTGTCTGGGTTCACTGTCCCAGGAGTTCTTAGGACTTTTCCCTGTACCTTCTTCTGGCTGTGTCCCCGTCCCTGGCCCCAGCCTTTTCTCAGTGCAGTCCACACAGGAGCTTAAGATGTCCCCTCTGTAGCCTTCATGGTCCTCACACCCATCTCACCTGTTTCCTTCCCATTCCTGGAAAGGCCTGTTCTGCCCCACCACACTCAGCCCTCAGTGGCCCCACTGAATCCAGGGTTAGAGGGGACCCAGGAGGGTTTTTCCCTGTAGGAATCAGCAATTGCCCACCAGAAAGCTAATGGCTTCCTCTATGTGCAGCTGTGGTTTCTGTCCTTTCAAGAACTTGGAAGTATGTTTGGTCACTCTCCAGAAAACATTCTCTGCCTCCAATATTTCCCGGCACCTGCCTACTGTCCTTCCGCCTGGGCCTTACCCAGGGCCTCCTCCAGCATCAGAAGCTTGGTGATCCCCAACACCCACCCACCCCGCCTCCTTCTTGGGACTCTTTGCGCCATGTGCTACCCACCAGAGGGGCAACCTATGTCCTTCTCACTTTGCCATCCCTAGACAGCAGCACCCTCAACAGGTAACTCCAGCCTCTCCGTGGAGCTGTGGCCAAAGCAGGGGTGCACAGTTTGGGGGAGACCGGGAGGCCCTGTGTCTGTGCTTGACGGAGTTCACCAGAATATCCTGTGACCTCGTCTTGGTTCTCAGGCACTGGGGCTACGTTACACTGCTAACTACAGCCTGAGCTGCCTTCCACTTGGCAGCTGGTTCGTTATCTTAGAGGGTGGCCCCTCTCGTGCAAGCGGAGGCTCTCATGCCAGGGGTGAGAGCAGAAGCCACATTCTCGGAGCAGGGAGAACGGACTGTGAAGGGGGCTGTGGTTAAGGCAACTGCTGCGGGGAAGCTTCTCCACTTCTGGCCCAATGCTGGGGAGGGCGTTTATGTCAAATCTCGCTCAGCTGTGTGTTTACCTTGATCAAGCACATACTTTCCTCCCCAAGTGAGGTTGCCGAGCGCACCCACCTACGTGATCTCCCCCACCCCCACCCCTGCTCTTCCTGGAGCTGGAACACTTCCTTCCAGCCACCACCTCCCTAGGAAACCCACCCCTCCTCTTAGGAACCTCTTGATAGATCTGGTGTTTCCCGGATGGTAGAGCCTGTGTCGTCACTGATGCGTAATGGCCATTAGGGGGCAGCATTGTGCTGAGGGTTTCCTCTGCTAATGCGACAACCCCATAGACTGTTCCAGAAATTAGAAAGATTTAATTTCAGTATCCCAGGTTCTGACAGGCTAGGTGACCCCAATATCCCAGACCCAGGCCCAGATGGTCCTGGTGCCGATAGTCCTGGTACAAAGCCACAGGGGTTGTGGCTTCCCCTCTAGGGGTATCCCACTTGGGATCTTCTCCATAGTTCACCCTAAGAGTCACCAATAGAGTTTCTTAAATGCTAAAATGTAGCTCTCCTGGGGGCACATACTGTCTGTGGGCTGAGGCTGGACATACCTGTGCCGTCTTCCACTGGGCTCCTGCCCCAGATGAACATACCTGTGTGGGTCACAGAGTTCTACAGGACCAGTACAAGCAAGCCCAATAGCCAGGAGAGACCAGAAGAGACAGAAATCATACTCAAGTTCTGTTTCCCAGAAAGGTGGGGCCCAGGAGAGCAGGGAGGTCACTTGCTGGTCGCAGCCAGGTGGCCCTGCCGGGTTTCTTTTGAGGATTAAAGTCAGCCTTCCTGTGTTCCAGGCTGTGTTTCCCCTTCTGTTGCCCTCAGCTGCACGATTAGGCTGAGTCTGCAGAGGTGGGACCCTCTCCCCCACCCCACAGGCACTTGGTGATGGGTGAGGGCCCAGTCTGTCACCATCTTCTCAACAATTAAGGACACCAGGGGTCTAGCCAGCTCTCCATGGGACTTGGTCCCGCTTATCTTCACACTTAATTCTATCCAATTGTTCCTGCTTTCTGGAAATTCTTTCCATGTCTGTGTTCCCACAGTGCCTTGCAGCCTTAACATATGTCCACATATTCAGAAAGAGACCTTTACTCCAGGTGGGGGTTGGGTATGGTCATGCCATACCATAGCCTTGCACAGCACCTAACTCGAAGAAGGCCAGAGACAGAGGCCTGTGGGCCTCAGGGGCTGCTGGACACAGGCATGGGTGACATGTTTGGTGATTCAGGTGGAGTCCAGGTCACTATGTGCTAGGGACAGATGGTGCCTCGGGGAGAGTTGAGCTGAGGCTGTGTTCACAGCCCACACCAGCCAATTTACATACTCATCCTCTGTGTTCCAGAGCCTTCTAATCCCTGCACCTGCTGCAGGCCCACCTGGACCAGACAGCTTGCCACCCACTGTGGCCACTTTGACCTTTCCCATCTGAGGAGGGCAGCTGCCTGAGACCGTGCAGAGGAAAGAATTAGGGTCCTTAGTCATGGCTGTACCTCTCCCTGATGGCCCGGCTCTACATCACAGACACAGCGATAGGGCAGAGCCACAATAGTAGCTGTGAGGTGTCTCCTCATTCCACACAGCCTGTGGGGGTGTCCTTATCAGCCAACAGGGATGAACAGGATAGCTACATTGGCACACTAGGCTGTGATCTCACCTGCAGAGCTGGTAGTGATGGAGCTAACACTGCATACTGGATAGGGTGCTACACACACACACACACACACACACACACATTGTGACCATACTTGACTGATGGACCAGACCTTAAGCCCTGAGGTCTGGCTCTGACACACTGCCTGGGTCCTAGAGCTGCTGGCAGCCATAGGAGCCCAGATTCCTGCTGAGTTAGGGCACTTGTGCTCATCCTCTTTCCCCATCCTGATCCTGGCTTTACTCATCATTGTCTTCTAGCTCACTTGGTTTACCAGCTGCACCAGCCCCCACCTGTGGCTCCCTTTGGCAGGAGGAGAAACTGGGAACCAAAAAGGCAGGCTTGGTAACACCCTGGACCACCCAGAGCTGCGGTAAGGGCGAGCCTGAAGACAGGCCCTGGGCTGGCTGGTCGGGTGGCCAGGGGGGCCTCCCATGGGCCTCTTCTACTGCCTAGCTTGAGCTTGATCTCGCAGGGTAGAGACCTTGTTCTATATGGACGGCAGCCACATGTCCGTATTAAAGTGTTTTGAGGCTCTCCAGCCCCCACCGCCGACTCTGCTGCTGCTGCGTCTGTCATACGTATGTCATCGCTGGTCTCCAAAACAGTCACACTCCTGCAGCCCGAGAGTGCCACCCTTCTTTCCTTCCTTATGACTGTCACCCAGGTTATTCCTTTTGTTTGGTACTTAAGTGTCGTAGTTCCTAGATTTCAGCTGAAGGAACTCGGGACTGAAGAGCTGGCACCTGGAAGGGGTACGAGGCATCCTCTTGCTGACCACAGTAGCCACAGAATCCTGGGGGAGCCTACCTGCCCTCAGGGTGCATCTGGGTAGCGGTCTCTAGGCTGCAGGGGAAGTCTTCCTGCACAGAATGGCCAGGAGATGGGTGCCAGGTTTGAACAAGCCTGAGACTCTGTTCACTCTTTCGTTGCTATCTGCTTATTTTCTGCAGAAAAAAGGTTTTGAATATGGTAGTAACATATCCCTTAGGAGACTGAGGGAAGAGGATCACAAATGTAAGGCCAGCCTGGGTAAGACAGAGTTCCAGGCCAGCCTGGGATGCACAGTGAGACCTAACGACCAAACAAGTAACAAAGGTGCAAACACACACACACACAATAGGTAAACGGTGCTGGAGATACAGCTCAAGCGTAAAGTGCTTGCCTAGCATGTATGATGCCGTGGGTTCAGTTCCCAGTACTGCACAATGAAACCAAAGCAAACAGCAACAACAAAAGTGATCACGCCTGTCTTAGAGAAACATTAAATGTGACCCTTAGCTCTGCCCGGACTCCTCAATCAGAGTGACCCTAGGGGATTGTAGGATAGGCATCAAGGCCTGAGAAAGGCCCAGGCTTAACCTCCAAGGTAGAGCGGCAGCAGGGTGGGTGAGGAGTGTCTCATATTGGGTTCAGAGCTATGGACATAGCTGATAGGTGTGAGTCAACTCATATGTGTGAGCTGAGTGTGTGTGTGTGTGTGTTGAGGGGCTACCAGCTCTACACAATGTGAGAACCAGCAGGTGGAGTCTTCTGGCCCCTGGACCTGGGGGACTCTTTCTCTTAGGGTAGGATATCTGGGGGCCTTCAGGCAAGAGCTGGCAACCCTCCTAGGCTCTAGGGCTACAGTAAAACCTCAGAGGTCCACAGACTTATTGCTCCTGCCATACTGACTGAGCATGACCTCACACCTGACATTGATCAGAGCTCAAGCCTCTATCCCAGCAAAATCTACATTTTGGGGGCACCAGGAGATGGCAGGTGAGACTTCGGGGTCAGGAGAGGCAGGAAGGGCATTTGTGGAGATCCTCGGCCAGAGAAGGCCCTGGTTGATTTTTTTTTTTTTTTTAGTTACTCGCCTCATCGCTGTGACAGAATGCCTGACTGGAATTAAACCCAAGGGAAAAAAGTTATCAAAGGTAGAGACTGTCATAGTGGAGAGCCAAGTGGCAGGCGCTCGGAGCAGCTGGTCACATAGCATCAGCAGTTAGGATGCAGAGATGGCAGATGCTGGTGCTTGGTCCAGAGATAACTGGTAGAGATGTTAGGACCCACAGTCAAGGTGGGTCTCTCACCTCAGTTAGCCCACTCTGGATAGACCCCACAGGTTTGCTGAGACTTGTCTCCTGAATGACTCCAGAGCCTGCCCAGTTGACGGTGTTCCTTGGATCTCCAGCCTGTTTCTGGGTGGCTGCTCTAACAAGCTGGACTTTCGATGAACAGGGAAGTGTGGGCTCATGGTTCAGAAGGTGGGGAGTTAAGAGCACTCCTGTGGGTTCCTGCTACCCCATCGCAGCAGAAGGCCACAGAGCTAACCCTCCCTTTGGTACTCATTTCTTTTCTTTTGAGACAGGGTAGCCTTTATTTAACCCACTGTGTAGCCATGGGTGACCTTAAACTTCTGATTCTGTTGCCTCTGTTTCCCAAGAGATGGGATAACAGATATGTACAACCAGACCCTGTTTATGGGGTACTGCAGATGGAACCCAAGGTAAACACCTAAAGCTCTACCCTCACATGCCAGCCTCCCTCTTATAATCAGTCCATTTCCTGACTTTAGTGTAAGGCTTCACCACCTTATAGATAAGGGCCAGCCCTCCCCTCTATAATCAGTCCATTCCTGACTTTAGTGTAAGGCTTCACTGCTTTATAGATAAGGCTTCATCAGTTATTCTGTTACCATGGCTACTAAATGTTTACATAAATTTGAGAAAAATCATTTAAATCAGGGGAAAACCCTATCTCTCGACAGAAAGTGTAGCCCAGAGAGTCAGTGAGATTTCCAGAATACCCTGGGCTCTGCCCACCCGGGACTGGGTTTATACGCTCTCTTCCTCCAGACTGACTGGGCAGGGTCTGCTTTTGTGTGGGAGTCAAGAGCAATTCCTAATCACAGCAAGGTGGCCCTCTCCTTACCGGGGTGTGTGTGTGGGGGGGTAGCCTGCTCTATCCCTCAGCCTCATTTGCCGTTCCCTGAGCAGAAGTGCTGGTCGGTCACGGGAACGGCAACGAGAGTTCCAGTCTTTAGTTTATACAAGCAGCGTTGTCCAGTGGAGCTTTCTGAACTTCAATACCCGGACATCCCTGCTCAGTGGGATGTCTGTTGATGGGGGATATAGGCTGTCAAGACCTGGAACTGTGAAGAGGTGGGACAGAAAATGTTATGTTTTATGGAGAGAGATAGACAGACAGAGAGAGAGAGAGAGAGAGAGAGGAGAGAGAGAGAGAGAGCATGCTCATATGCATATGTAGAGGCCAGAAGCCAACCTGGGTAATAATTCCTCAGACACTCCCAGCTTGGTTTTTAAGACAGAGTATCTCGTTGGCTGGGACTCGCCACACAGGCTAGCCTGACTGTCTGGTGAGCCCAGGCTCTGCTCTCGCTCATTTCTGAAACATTGGGATTACATGTGCAGGCCACCACACCCAGGTTTTTTTTTTCTTTCTTTCTTCCTCTTATACACAGGTTTTGACGTCTAACTTGGAGCCCCTAAATGTACCAAAATAAACACCATCTGTGCCTTTCGCTGCTTCTCTGGGGGCAAAGCTCTACCCTCAGGCTCAGCGACTCCACGGGGGAGGGGGTGGCAGAGAAACCAGAGTCTAAGCACTTACTGTCATTGTCCTTCCTGCCATCAACCGGCTGCAGTGGGTGCTGGGCACTCATGAGGCCATCTTACTGGGTCTCGCAGTACTGGCTCTTACTGGGTCCCGCAGTACTGGCTTTAGGAGGTGCTGAATTCTGGGGGCTCCTAACTGTCTTTTGAGGAGAGTTAGGGATTAAGGCCCATGGTGATCTCAGCTGGGGGCTGACCTAGTTTTCTTCTGGGTCACAGGTCAGTGCTCAGGGACAGGCAGTCTGTGGCCTGTGGGGTGCCGGTATGGCCCAAGAAGACTAGGAGATACCCCCTCAGATGCATGGCTTAGAGGCTTTGGGCTTCAGTCTTTAGGTCCGTGGAAGGATGATGGAGTTGGGCACCTGCTCTGGCCTTAGAATCCTCAAGGGCCTGGACATAGTAGTGAAACCTCTTCTTCTCCAAAGGAACTGGAACTCAGTCAACCCAAGAATTGTGCCCAATTACACAGGGGTCCTCCAAGAGTCCTCGAGTGCTCGTTGTATGTCTTGTGGCTGCACCCTGCTACCGTCTGATCTTTTCTGTCAGTGGTAATACCCAGGGATTGTGTAACTGTTGTTCACAGCTTTTCTTCTGCTCCTTCTCTGTCCGTGATGACATGCAGTCTGCCAGGGAGGATGGTTCTCCTTGGGCAGAGGATTGAGAGTCTCTCTGTAGCCTTCCCTCTATCATGACTAGCCAGTGACTGAGGGCCATCGAGGGCTGTCAGGAAGGCCCTCTCATCCAGGCCAAAGGGTTCAAGTCAACCATCCTCTGAACCCTCCCCTAACAGCTAACTCTTAGCAGAAATGAGGCTGAGGATAAGGATAAGGTCAGGAGGGAACAGAGCCAACCCCTGAACTCAGCTCTTCCCCAGAGCTCCCCTGGTGGAACCCCCTACAGGGTAGTGAACACCAGCAGTGTGTAGAGCCTTGGCCATGGGGGGGGGGGGGAGAAGCCTGCTCTGCTACCCTTGGAGACTTTGTAATCTAAGGGGGAACACCCTAGAATTCCAAGGAGCACGCTGGACTCGCCTCTGTAACACATACCCACCTGAGCACCACTGTCAACCACCGTGACCTTCGGGCCCTGTTAAGCTATTGTGGAATCCTTACATGGGTAAGCTGTATCCCCTCCACACACAAAGGCTCTGTTTGGCCAGTGATCTAGGGTCCTCTAGAAAGTGCAGGACAGAGCTGAGACTGGTACCTGGGTCTGTCTGGTGGCTCCTGTCACCTATGCTAACTCGATTCCTGCTTCTGAAATGAATGGTGGAAAGAGGGAGGCACAGCCAGCTTGAGAGAGGGAATACAGCCATGTGGCAGCCATGCCGTTTCGAAGGGCTTCAGGGAAGGGGCCCTTCTTGAAGTGCTGGCTACCAGTGCAGTTCTTGCGTCGTGTGGGCTTTCCCTCCCGGCCTCTGGCCTGAGTTTCCTTGCAGGCCAAGAAGCTGTGAGTGCTGAGGCTCAACCAGGAGAGAGGCTCAGAGCATACCTGCCACTCAGGTGCCCTCCTCCGTGGTCCGCAGGTCAACAGGAGCCCAAGGGGCCACATTCTGGAGGGCACCTGACCAATTTCCAGCTGAAATCCTTGGACTTTCTCCAGTCACTGAAGGTATGTCCTGCCCCATGATACTAGGCCAATGACAGCTGTGTCCCCTTTAGGCATATTCTGTTTGGAGATTAGCTGTGAGCAGCCGTTGCATGAGGCTGAGTAAAAGGATCCAAAACACAGAGCTGAGGGTTTAGAAGCAGCCCCCACCCCTGGTACTCAACCCGGATAGGGAAGTCCCAGGTAGAAAGAGTAGTCATTCGCTAAGAGAGGCAGGCCCTGCCCAGGTGTGGGATCTACCAACGTGATCCTCATAGTCTGTCGCCAACAAGGCACAGGTGAACCGTGGGGTATGGGTTCTCATGACAGCTGGACCAGCAGAAGCAGGAGCAGGCGCTGGCCCTTCTGAGACAGCGGACAGAGCAGGAGGTATGGGAGACGCAGATGGCGCTAGATGAGCTTGTCTTCAAACACCAGCTGACGGTCAGTGGGATGCCCCTTCTGGGGCTTTAACTGGTGTGCTTCGCCTCCCAATGTCCCTTCTACCCCACCCCACCCAGGCTGAGGTCCTTCTAAAGTGGGCACCATCGCATGGATACAGAGAGGCACCACTAGTCTAGGAGGGAGTACAAAGCCACATGAATTGGGGGCCCTGGACTTGTTTGAAGGGACTGGAAGCTTTGGCCACTAACGTCCTGAAAACACCCACACTGGGGTGCCCATGGCTGGTTCCAGACCTGGGTCACAGATAGGGGTCGTTGCTTCCCACTCATCCCAGGCTGGGGTCTGTTAGGCCCTGAGCAGCGAGGTCTCTGTTGGAGCTCAGAGTTTATAATCTATGGTGTGTGTGATATACAAACCCCAGTATGCCTCTCTTGCCTGATTCTGGGATCCAGCCTGGCCTAGCTGGCTGTGAAACCTCCTCTCTCACGCTCTGCAACATCAGATTCTTTCCTTGCAGCAGCGGATGGAGAAACCCCTAGTCCAGCAAAAGCCAGAAAAGGATTTGAAGCTGGAACAGCAGCAGACGTGTGGTGGCCTAGAGCCGAGTACACCGTCTCTCAACACAGTGACAACGAGTACACCGTCTCTCAACACGGTGACGACCAAATCCAGGTGAGGCCAAGGCTGGGACCAGATGCCACCCCACAGGGTAGAGGAGGGCGAGGGCAGGCTTAAATTCAGGTTTCAGGTGCTGGCAGTGACAGTGACCTTTGGTGGTTTCCTGGCCCTTCAGATCACCACCCTTCCCACAAAGAGACAACACGGAGTCCTTGAAGCACCCTGAGGAGGCAAGGGCAGCTTCTGCAGGTGAGCGTCCTGTGTGATGTGTGCTGGCAGTTAAGGGGTAGAGCAGGGCTAAGAACCTTGTAAAACCTCCCAGATGAGCTTTGAGCCTCGTGGAGCTAGGTATGCCAGCCTATAGCTTCACCCCCAGCCTGACACAGCTACTTCCCTGGAAAGCTTGGCCCCTCTGCTGATTTCTGGTGGCCATAAAGTACATTTGTAGACTTTTTTTTTTTAAAGATTTATTTATTTATTATGTATACAACATTCCTTCCACGTATGTTCACATGCCAGAAGAGGGCACCAGACCTCATCATAGATGGTTGTGAGCCACCATGTGGTTGCTGGGAATTGAACTCAGGACCTTTGGAAGAGTAGTCAGTGCTCTTAACCTCTGAGCCATCTCTCCAGCCCCATTTGTAGACTTTTGATGATCTCCACACTCAGGCTTTTGCTGGGATATGCCATACTCTCTGTTGGGTGGAACAGTCTGTTACCAGTTGGTGACAGAATTGCTCAGACCCACCACATGTTCGTGACTTTTCTTCTTTGTTTCTACTATTGTTGGCTGGGAGACACACTACGGAACCTTCAGATTGGAAGGTTGTCTAGACCCCTGGGCAGTTCGATTAGTGCTATAGCACGTAAACGTTTAGGTTTCTGACGAGCTCTTGATGAACTGACCCTTTTGATATGGAGACACTTCTGGAGTGTGCTTTGTCCTAGAGTCCACTTTGTATGTAAGTTTAGTTGTGGATTTTTGTTTTTGTTGTTATTTTTGTTTGTTTGTTTGTTTGTTTGTTTTGCGGGCATGGGGATACTATGCTTGCATCTCGCCTTGGGTCTCCTAGTCTGGCCTGGAACTCACTGTTAGCCAAGATTACCTTAAATTTCCGACCCTCCTGCCTCTGCCTCCCAAGTGCTGGGATTGATTATAAATGTGCATTGTTATGCCAGGCATGGTAGTGCATGCCTTTAATCCCAGCACTTATGAGGCAGAGGTAGGCGGATCTTTTTGAGTTCGAGTCCAGTCTGATCTACAAGAGCAGATGCCAGGACAGCCAAGGTTGTTACACAGAGAAACCCTGTCTCAGGGGGTGAAGGTGAGGGGCACCTACTCTATGAAACTCACCATAGCAGGGTGGTAGGCAGGGGTCAGCAGCAAGGGAGCTGGGTAAGCAGGGAGTCTGGTCTCTGTGTGTCTCTGTGCCAACTTAGTACTCGACTTGGGACATCCCCTCTGGCCTCGGTGTCTCCTTCTGTGTGTGAGAGCAAGGGCTGTTATTCTGAGAACCTTGTGTTTGGTCTGGTCCTGTGTACAATTGTGGGTTCCATTTCGGAGTTTCAGTTTAGGAAACAAGAGGCCACCAGTCCCTTCCAGTATTGCCTTGTGATCTGGTGGGAAGCTGTGTGTCAGAGGTTGTGTGTAGATGCATGAAGTATGTTCTTGCCTCGGACATACTTCATTTGAGAGGCCCTCCTTAGGAAAGGCCCTAAGCACATGTTAATGGTTCCCTCAGGACCCCACCAAGGCCTGTTTTCTGTCTTGGAGCCGGTGCAGCAGGACCCAGCCCCCCCCCAGCTGGCACTAACCAAGTTCTTCCCTTCAGACAGAACCACCTACAAGGTACAAAGAATGGGGCATGAGGGGCTGGAGAGATGGCTCAGTGGTTAAGAGCACTGACTGCTCGCTCTTCCAGAGGTCCTGAGTTCAATTCCCAGCAACCACATGGTGGCTTACAGCCATCTATAATGAGACCTGGCGCCCCCTTCTGGCTTGCAGGCACACGTGGAAGGAATGCTATACACATAATATAATAAATAAATATTTTTTAAAAAAAAGAATGGGGCATGACTTTAAGGTTACATAATACTGGTGGTGGGTAGTGGGTCCCCACTGGCCCTGATCTGGGAAGGGTCACCCCGTCATCCCAGTGTCCATCCTTGCAGCTGGTAGCTACCCCAACTCTTCCTCTCACCCTGGGTGATAGCTGAGGACCTGCATGCCAACAGGGTGCTTTGGATAGGACAGTGCACAGCCCAGCTTGCCTTGCTAAAACCCTGCAGAGCATCAACAAGTGTCCTGCCAAGCTTGGGATGGGCGTGAGTCCAGGATGATGAGGACCCTGCCTGCCCTCTGGGAGCTTACAGTCAGGAAGGGGTGCCTTGCCTGGAAGGGAGCATTGTGAGGGGGATAAGCTGGTGGGCGTTTAGAGAGGACTTCTTGGAGTCTGTAGCATCTTCCTGAGAGTTGGGACCGCTCCCAGCCCTTGAGAGGAATTTGTAGTGACAAAACTGGGTTGGTCTGTGTCTCTGCAGCGGGACATAGAGAGACCAGAGCCAGGAACAGAAAGGTCCAGGACCTTCCACCGCTTCACTATTGCGATGCTGGAGCAGAGTCTGAGAGACGAAGAGCTGCGTGCCCAGCACCAGGCTGCAGTTCTCCGACTGCGTGAAATGGCGCTGGAGGAAAAAGCCCGTGCGGAGCTGGCCTGCCTGGAGCATCAGATAGGGTGAGCTCAATGTGTGGTTGGTTCTGCCCACCCCGTCCACGTGCCCACCCCCATCCACGTGCCCACTCCGTCCACGTGCCCACCCCTGTCCACGTGCCCACCCTCCACGTGCCCACCCCTGTCCACGTGCCCACCCTCCACGTGCCCACCCCTGTCCACATGCCCACCCTCCACGTGCCCACCCAGTCTACGTGCCCACCCAGTCTACGTGCCCACCCCAGTCCATGTGCCCACCCCCTCCACGTGCCCACCCTCTTACCCACACACAGACACAGACGACACAGAAAGATGACTGAAGTGATCCAGGCAGTGATAGGCATTTGGAGAAATTTAGGGAAGATAGTAAGTGTCCCCAAAAGACTAAACGAGCAGCCACGGTCCCTGTCTCTGTAGTGTCTGCAGTATTTTCAGAGTGTTCCAGAGTGTTGCTGGGGGCTTAGGCTTCGCACGCTGCTGCATGCCAGGAAGCCTCACGTCACCACATACGTGCCAGCACATGGGCATTGCAGGCCATCAGCATTCCCTTGGCCCGTCTCTAATTACAGACATTCGCTATGTAGCCAATGTTTTGCTATTATGACTTCCGAGAAACTTTTTCCTTAGAGTGATTTCTTAGATATAGGACTTTCATATATAAATGAAACGAATCCAGAATCCTCTGGCCTTGCTGAGGCTGGCCTCTGGGGGTTCCTCTATTCACAGCCCACCACCACCCTGGGCATGACATGTCCTTACTATCTATCAGTGGGGAACCCCTTGTCTGGATGTAGTCTGCAGGTGGGAGACTTCATCACCTCAGGCCTTCACACCCTTGACTATGAGACAGTCATCAACATGCTGGGAGGGATGATTGACAGCCCAGGCTGAGGCCCCTGGGGCTCCCAGACTCTGCTCAGTTGGGGGACATCTAGGTGTACCTGGCTGCTGGAGCTGCCTGGTCCTGCTTTGTGGATCTCCCAATCTGGAGAGACTCTCAAGACTGCCTGTGGCTTTTTCCCTTCCCTAGGTGTCTGGGGCTCAAGGGGCGCGAAGCGGCACGGGCCACTTTGTGGGAGAAGCAACAACAAGCCCTCAGCAGGCTTGAGAAGGAACGGGTAGGCACGGACAAGGAACGGTCACACAGAAGCAGGCCTGCAGCCCTCCCAGTGGGGGCACCAGAATGCCCCTGTGTCCCAGAACGTCCTTGAGCTCTTGCCACCCTCCAGTAATGCTTACAACTCTATGGGGCCTGGAAGAGCCCACGGTCAGAGGACTGCAAATCTAAGTGGCACATGGCCCTACATCCCTGGGTCTAAACCACGCTTAACCTCCTGCTAACTGTGGCCTGCGACAAGTCGCTTAGCCTCTGGGAGTTTCAAGTTCCCACTGTAGAGCAGTGTCTGTTTCCGAAGTCTTGGCGAGACTTTTATAATAAAAGGGTGGTACAGAGGCAAGGCAGTAGCCAACACCTGGGGGGGAGGGGAGGAGGGGGAATAGGGAGAGAGAACTCCATATGGAAGTCATTGGTGCATGAGTACCCCAGCTTCATGGGTTCCCTCCTGCCCAGACCAAACCCAGAGGAGAGCAAAAGCTAAGAGGCTGAGCAGGGAGGGCCAGGCAAAAGGCCTGGGAGAGGAGAGGTGGGTCGTCAGGCAGCATGAGAGGCAGAGGCCCCTGGGCGTCCCCTCCCTGCCCCGGTGTCCTAACTGGAATTTTCTCCTCCGGAACTTCAGAGGGAAATCCAGTACCTGAAGAAGGTGTACGCGTCCCTGCACCGTGACAGAAAGCAGCTCCTGCAGCACCAGCAGTCTATCCTCGATGTGCAGAGGTCTGTGGCTCACTTGCGTCAGGAGCTCCAGGCCCGGACCCAGCGGCTGCAGGTGGGCGCTCCCAGCATCTTCGCTTGGTCCCTTTGTGTCCCACCTGCCACTCTAGGTGGAAAGGGTCTGGAACAGGGTGATGGTGTTGAGGGAGAAGATGACCTGCCGGGGGCCCTGGGGGAGGAGCCAGGCTTCCAAGCTATGGCAGTTATTACAGACCAGGGGGAGAAGAAAGGCCCTGTGGGAGGAGGAGAGCCTGGTGGGTGGAGGTGGAGGGGTAATGATCTAGTTCGAGGAGGCCCAGGTACCACTCAGATAGGCCAGCAGTAGCAATGGGGACCTCTGTGTCCCTAGCAGGCCTGGGTGTGCTGGAGAGGCCACTCAGACAAAGTACCCACTGTGTCTGTGGAGCTGAGTCCCTGCTCCTTTCACCCGGATAAGAGCATGAGAGGGAATACAGATGAGGGCAAGGGACCCTTGGGCACTCTGTGTTCCCCTAACTCTGTAAGCAGGAAGACAATGGCCTCATCTCTGAAGCACCTGCCACAGGCCAACCTTCAGGAGAGGGGGCTCCGGACTACCTGACTCTAGAGTTCTCTATGCCTCTTGGCAACTCTGGGCAGGAAAGCAAGCTCTATCTTCTGTCTGTACCTATCAGCAGGTGTCTAGGCCTGGTAAGGGACGGGGCAGCTTGTCCCAGCTGGTGCCCACTGTATCTACAGTGGTAAGGGTGTCCTGCGGTGGCCGCTGCCATGTGCTCCTGCCCCCCTGCTTTTCTGTAGAGGGCACCAGCTGAAGGTGGCTATCCCAGGCTTGCCCTGTGCTATTTTTCCTAGAGTTCCAGCTCCAGCGTCAAGGTCGCCTGGGAAGGGGTCTCTGACACACATCAGAAAACAGAGGAACACAGACCTGGGAGCCCCCAAAGCCACAACCCCCAGGAACTCTCAGACAGCTTGAAAGTTTCAGAGTGAGTGGGGGAGAGTGGGAGTGAGGGAAGATGGCTCTGGCACATACCATGACAAGCCTTTCGTATATTTGTTTTCTGCTGCATGGATCCATTTCACTCCGCTGCTCCCAGGAAGATGGGGGGGTAGAAGGGCATGGGAGGACCAGACCTGCCCTGAGCTCCCAAGAGGATGGGGGGAGAAGGGCATGGAAGGACCAGACCTGCCCTGAACTCCTCCAGGAGGATGGGGGGGTAGAAGGGCATGGGAGGACCAGATCTGCCCTGAACTCCAGGAGGATGGGGGGCGTGTAGAAGGGCATGGGAGGACCAGACCTGCCCTGAACTTCTCCAGGAGGATGGGGGGCGGGGTAGAAGGGCATGGGAGGCCCAGACCTGCTCTGAACTCCAGGAGGATGGGGGGAGAAGGGCATGGGAGGACCAGATCTGCCCTGAACTCCAGGAGGATGGGGGGGGGCGGGGTGGGTAGAAGGGCGTGGGAGGACCAGACCTGCCCTGAACTCCAGGACAGATCAAACAGCCGCCACAGTTACTGGCTCTGTGGTTGAGGGATATGGGCACATGACGCTCCCTAGAGCACTCTGTGGGGCGTAGGATGACAGAACACACAGACAGCCTGGCTTGGGGCAGCAGAAAGCATGTGTGTGACCACTCCAGCCTCTGGGACTGTAGGAGCTGTTCTATGGCCAGCAGCAGCTGGACTTTCTTTGAGGCCTGGCCATTTTGCAGCAAAAGGGGATGAGGTTCCTGCCTGTGTTCGGAGGAGAGACATGAAGAGTGTCCCTTGACCACAGATGGGTGAAAGGAGCAGCAGGCCTTTCCCTATAGTGGCTTCCCCATGCTGGAAACTGTAGCAGGCTTTCTCAGACCACCAGTCCATAAAGCAGGACACAGAAACTTATTATTAATGAATGAATGCTTGGCCTTATCTTATGCTCATCCCACTAGCTCTTAGAACTTAATTTTTTTTGAGTTCTTTTTTTTTTATTATTAAAAATTTCCGCCTCCTCCCCACCTCCCTTTTCTCTCCCCCTCCCCCTACTTAGAACTTAATTTAACCTGCTTCTCTTATCTCTTTGTCTACGGTTTGCCTTGGGGCTTTTTACCTTTCTTTCATTCTGTATGTCTTACTTTCACTGCTTCCTCCTGGCTGGCAGCTGCCTGGCTGGCCCAGGCTCGCGCGCGCTCTCTCTCTCTCTCTCTCTCTCTCTCTCTCCCTCCCTCCCTCCCTCTCCCCTCTCTGTCCGCCAGTCCCTCCTATCCCTCCACTGCCTTGCTATTGGCAGCTCAGCTTTTTATTAGACCAATCAAGTAATCAAGTTCCTTAGGCCGACAAAGCAACACATCTTTACATGAACAAATGCAGCATATCTTTACAACATTAAACAGACGCAGGGTAAACAAACGTAACAGCCTGTACACAGTTAAAGTGCTAGTCCGCAGCAGGAAACACTGTGCTCCACCCAGCAGCACTGTCGGGGCGGAGTGATCTGTGGATGGTTCTCATCCTGGCAGTCCCCTCTTCCCCAGGCACCCACTGCCAGTCCTGGGAAGGCTATTACCACCCAGGCCCTAGTGCTTAGTTCCTGGGCTTCTTCCCTCCACCTTGAGGGTGGGGTTGGGGATAGAATCACCTCCCTCGGGCTGGCCTGCAAGAGAGAAGATCTTCTAGAGCTTTCTCTGGTACCTCTCAACAGCCTTGGCAAGAACAGTCACTCTGGACCCTCCTCTCTGTGCCTGTCAGCAGAGTACAGACTGGGCCAGGATAGCATGCCTGTTCCAGGCCCTGAATGAACCTACAGCACTTGATGTTGGTGAAACTGCCAGGACCCAGAAGCTGCCCCTAGGCAGAGCCCTCCCTTTTGAACCTCTAGAGTTTCCCCAGGGCCCTAAGGGGCAGGCTGACTGGTTCACACATGATGGTGGGCCCAGGCAACAAGGAAAAGGACCAGAGGCTCCTAGGCCCCCATCTATGCCCCATAGCAAGCTGCTCCATCTGAGGCCCAGGCCCTGCTTGGGAAGCTGCTGAGTGAAGAGGGACCAGGACCCTGTCTTCTGCTTGGCCACTGGTCCAGTTGCCCCTGGATGTAGCTCAAGGTGGTTCTAGGGACAAGGACTTGCTGAGTCTTGTGGTCAGGGATGGGCACCCTGGCTGGAGCAGCTGGAGGTCCACTCACATCTAGTCTGCTGTGTCTTGTCCTGCAGCCTTTCTCCAGAGCAGAAGGAAGTGGCACCTCCCCAGACAACTTCAGCTACAGATAAGCTCCTGCAGCCTCAGAGGCTGAAGTGGGCAGGTGTCACACCGGGGACTGGAAGCCCATCTGTGGAGAGTGGACATGACAGCCAAGGTAGTCCAGAACAGAAAATTGCTCAATCTTTCAGCGCCAGCCTTCTGTGGGGGCAACATTAAGCTTGGGGTGAGACAGTCCTACGTACCAGGCCATCAGGCCAGTGTGTGACCTGGGATACCCAGGCCTCCCTGGGCACATCTGAGTTGTAGCCAAGTGCCCATTGGACCTGCCCCTCAACCCTCGGAGACACAGACATGGGATGTCACAGGAAATTGCCCAGGCAGGCTGTCCTACTGCAGAGAGATCCAGGCAGGAGCAGCTGCTCAGAGTTAATGTGGCTGCCCATCACTGCAGGCCTGGGACTGTCAGAACACAAACCTATCAACAGCAAGGCCTGGCCATGTCCCCCTGCTGCCAGGCAAGGACTGAGACTGAACATGCCCTTCCCTGGCATAAAGGGAGTCCGTTTTCCTGGTTCAGGGCAGAAACATAGTAGGACGCAGTCTAACATGATTCCTGGCTGTCCCTCCCCATCTTGCTGTGGCCTGGTAGATTTGCTCTCTGTCCCCCAAGGAAGAATCCAGGAAAATAAGGGTGCACTCTCTGCCCCCATCCGTCCACGGGCTGCTGGTGTGACTACTTGGCCTGTGCTCCATCCGTCCACGGGCTGCTGGTGTGACTACTTGGCCTGTGCTCCATCCGTCCACGGGCTGCTGGTGTGACTACTTGGCCTGTGCTCCATTCTGCCTCCACCATGTTCCCCCCTCCCTGACCTCAGTCTCTTCCTCATGATGAGATAAATGTCATATTCATTTTTGGAGGCTGCCACTCGGAGTTCTGCAAGCTGAATGACTCAAGCAAATGTGTGCTCTCACATTCTGGAGACCAGAAGGGGAAAATCTATGTTCCCTCCAAAGGCTCCAGGACAAGGTCCTTTTGGCTCCTTTTGGCTCCAGATGTTCCCCAGATCTAAGGTTGTCTCCAGACTCTGTCTCCTTGTGCCTGTCTCTTTTCTCCTGTGTCCATTTCCTCTCCTGTTTTTTTTTTTTATTATGTATACAATATTCTGTTTGTGTGTATGCCTGCAGGCCAGAAGAGGGCACCAGACCCCATTACAGATGGTTGTGAGCCACCATGTGGTAGCTGGGAATTGAACTCAGGACCTTTGGAAGAGCAGGCAATGCTCTTAACCTCTGAGCCATCTCTCCAGCCCTCTCCCATTTCTTTTAGAGTTACGACCTGCCCAACTTTAAGATGGGCTTGTCTAGAGATTCTTATTATATCTGCAAAGGCCCTCTTACAAATAAGCTCTCGTTCCCAGGTTTTCAGCTTATGAGTTGAGCACCCCAGAATACTTGAGCACACAGTCTGGGGGACACATGGTGGAGCTACCCACCCCCCAGACACTAGCATCTATGTCTGGTGATGCTGAAGAGGTTTGGGCACAGGGGCAGAAAACTAGACAACATTATGACCGGAATATGAGGCAGGTGTGGAGGGGAGGGTGTTGGGAGCAGCAGCGGAAAGCAGTAGAGAGCCTCATCTAGCTTCCAAAGCAGCAAGCCATGTGGCGTATCTTAAGTCCGGGGTTCTACACTTGCTAATCAGCGTGAGTGACCCCAGGAATTGTGTTTTTCAGGACCTGGAAAACAGCCTTGTGTCTCTCCCCCTGGTCTGCTGCACTCGAGCTCCCTGGACTCTGAACATCATAAACACTCAGCCTTTCCTGTATGCAACCCTCAGGAAGTCCCTCTCCCCAGCCCTGCTGGTTTGGGGCACCTCCCATACCATTCTCCCAGTCTATAGTTTGATCTTGGTTGGGACTCCTGGGTGCCCATGAGCTAGCGCCCGTGGTGCTGGTGGCCCTGATCATCCTAGTCCTTGGAGTTCTGTCCTCAGGTGGCTCCTGGATTCATGATTCCCCTTCTATCTTGTTGACACAGGTCGAGAAAGATGGTAACCCGGTCTCTCAGCTGAAGCCACAGGAGACCGAGGAACTGCTTCTTCCAGGTAATGCCCCTGGAAACTGTCTGTGGGCCATCCCTGTGTGGATCTTTCCAGGAGCTTCCTCCACATCCAGTGGACCCTGTCCAAGTCTGGTGTCCAGCGGTCAAGCAGGAACAGGGAGGTCCCCAGGGAAAGCTGAAGAGGACGGATGCTCATGGCCCCTTCCCGAGACCACAGACCCTTTCCTGGCTAGAAGACTGGCCAACTCCATTGCCTGTGGGAGGTGACTTGGCTACTCCTCTGGGGACATTAAAGACAATACTTGATCTGGCTATTTCAGCTTTAGCTTGGTTTATCTAGATGTTTCCAAGAGCTTAGAAAGCAGCACTGCCAGAAGCATCTTCATTAGCGGACGCCAGTTGTATCCATATCAAATTCTTTACTCTCTGAACCATGCACTTGCCCTGAGGCCTCCCTGAGGGCAGAACTCCTGATCTTCAGGGAGTGGGAGAGTGACTTCTCACTCTGGGGCTTTGCCCTGGGACTGACATTGAGGGACTGGCAAGGCTTGGCTGGCTCTCTGTGAGTTGGTTCCACCTCTGAGTTCCCCACCCCCGGATTGCAGCTCTAGGTTCATAAGCTCCACCCCTCCACCCACTACTCAGCATCGACCCTCAGAAGCCAAATCTTGTCAGACTCTGCGGCACCAGGGCACTCTTTGTATCTGGGGCTGGAAAGAGTGAATTCCAAGTCAGTTAGGATAGAAAGAAGCAAGCCCTTCCCAGTGCAATAGGATTATCCAGGAGGGTTGGGACAGATGGGGTTTCCCAGGAGTCCACAGGTGACCAGGGTGAGCAGGGGACATACAGAGGACATTTCCATGGCCTTCCTGTCTGCTGAAGCCACACCTCTGTTGGCTGTTGTTCAGGGCTCTGCGGACATTTGTTAGGCCTGGTGCCCCTCGCCGTTCATGTCACTGGCTTCTGCCCTGTGGCCATGTGTAGGCTAGCTGTCGCGTACTGAAGCCAATCAGTACTTACACCACACCAGGGAGCCAGTTGTCTCTTGAGCTGAGCACACTCATTACCGACCCTGCAGGAGAGGAGACTGAGGACGGAAGTACCTGGATGGTGAGCTTGTTAGGAATGGTCCAGGATTCAGCTGTCTGACTGGTGCTAGCTGCTGTCTTGTCAGAAGATGGCTCCTGCAAGGTTCTTGGGAGCACCCCAGTATGGCCATTCGAGAGTCCACGGTCCTACCTGCAATGACCCTGCCACCTTAGCCTCCATCCCAGGCTCTGGATGAGAGTTTAAGGCAACATAGCTCTGGTCCCATAGGCCAGTGGCCTTGGGCCTTCAGGATCCCAAAAGTCTACCATGGTCTAGGCAGGACTCAGATCTAGGAATACGGAGGTCTAGCCTGACTCTGTGTGCCCTGCTTTGTGCCCACTTGACTGGTCTTTTAGATTGCTATGGAAGACCATGCCGTGGCCAAGGCCTACCCTTGCCTGAGTGCCTATCCCCTCACAGCACTAAAGGGCCTCAGCACAGTGCTAAGACAAGGAAAGGAACAGCCCTGGCAAGGGTTCCCAGCCACCCAGGGGAGGTCCCCAAAGGCGGGAAAGAGAGATACACAGTTCTTGTTTGTTTTCTGAGACAAGGGTCTCACTATATAAACCAGGTTGGCCTGGAACTCATAGAGATCAGCCTCCCTCTGCCTCCCACGTTCTTGTTTTAAGGTGGGTGCCACCAACTGGATTTAAATTTAAAATGATTTTTCTATGTGCTTCACCTCCCCCTAGGACTTCATATCACTAACTATCTAACAGGATAATTTGGGAAACACATGATCACATCTTTTAGGTACTCACACTAATCAAATGCCACAGTCCAGTCTTGCATCCATTTTGAATTTTCAGATAATTTTCCTGGGAGTCACCCCCACACCAAGATCTATACATGTCAGTATTCACGGTCTGTTTGTCCCATAGGCCACCTACAGACCAAGCCCAGTGCAGCCTGGGTAGTGGAGAGAGAGCCTATGGACAGCCATGCTTGGAGCTTGCATGGACCGTGTGGAGAGTCCCTAAGTGAAGAAGCCAGAGTGAGTCAGGGTGTGGCCATGTGCTGTCTGCAGACTCTGGGGGCGTTGGCCTGTTGTGTGTCCTCTGGAGGCTGCCTTGTACACCACATGATGCTGTCATGGGATGAGGGCTCAGAGGACATTCCAGGTACTACATGCGGTTCTGCAAATTGCAGCTTCCATGGGTTTCACCTCGCACTCAATGAGTGAGCAGAAAGTCTTCCCAGGGTGGACAGAGGTGTTTGATGATTGGGATCTTTGGGGCCCTCTTCAAGGACCCTTTTTGTCTCTGGAAGCGCACAGCCTTTGATCCCCAACAGAGGAGGTGGGGGAGGCCCTAATGGGTATCATACTTTTCCAATGTGTTTCTTGCAGGTGGCTGAAAAAAGAACAAGTCAAGGCCTGGATGTTTCCAGAAGCCCAAAGGGGGAACCCCAGGAAGAGGCACACTGGAAGTCAGAGCAGCAAAGGTGTGGAACGTGGGTAGGGTAAGGCACCGACGCGTGGAGAGAGACAGTCTTGGTCAGCTTTTGGGATCTCTTAGTACCCAGACCCCACCCCCATCCCACCTGAACTGGGCCCAGCTGTACACCACTGGCTCTGACTCCCTCTTGGTATCTAAGTTGTTGCCCAGTGAAGGCCCAAGACACAGCTGGGGGACGCAGGTGTCTGAAAGTGTTTCCATCTGTCACCTGATCTAGGTAGTCAGATGTCCCCCACCCCCTCACACACATTCCCACTGCCCTCACCCTCCACCCCCCTCCCAGGTACCCCCTGTGTGGCAATGGTTGCTTCCAATGGTGGGTGAGCGGCCAGGGCTGTTCATAAGAGTGTCATGGGGGTTGCTGACTGTGAGCCCTGGAGCAAAGGCAATGGGAAGGCAAGACTCCTTCCCTAGCAGCCAGGACTTCACCGTGTGCTTGCAGGAGAGGAACCTCTCAGCAGGAGAACCCAGACATCCCCTCCACCCACCTGGAAGCTGACCAGGAGGCTGCTTCCCCAGGTGAGACTCCTACCCCTATAGGACTCTCACCTCCACCCCTGGGCTATTCAGAGACCCTTAAGTCTTCACTTAGAGGCTATTCAAAACCAGTTCTTAGATCAAAGTGAGGCTTTTCCATACTGCTGGGGTGGGATGGGGGACCCTGCTGACTCCCCTCCCCTGCCCCAGGGGCTATAGTCTGAGTCTAAAACTTCAAAACAAGCCAAACAGAGCCACCCACCAGATCTAACAATAACTGAGGTGGTATAGACTGAATCTAGACACTCAGGGATCGGTACATGATGACCCACCTGTAGGGAAGGGGCTGGGACAATTACGAGGGGTTATCAAAGGACTGAGCACGTTAGCACCGACTGTAACTTGTACCAGCGCCCTTGTTAGTGTCTTCTGTTGGACCATCTTTTCGGTTTGGGACTGCTTCCGGGGATAGTCTACTATGAGGGGTGTGGGAACTGTGAGCAACTGTGAGCCACTCCCTAATTCAGTTCATCTCAGCAGCTCCTGTGGCCAGCGAGGAGGAGGCACAGCCTGCCTGGCACCTAGACAGCCCTCCGTCCCAGCCTGCTTCCATCTTGGACACAAGTTCTAAGTCTGCTTCTAGAAGCTGCTCAGGGTCTTCGGAAGCCCCTGCCTTATCCCTCACCCCTTCAGCGGGCTCAGCAAGTAGTCTTTCCTGTTCATCTCTCCAGGAGTTCCAGAAAGCCACGGCCACCCTCGTCCATCTTTCTAACAGCTCCACATCCCTGTCTAGCTTGGAAGCTGAAGATACCCTGCATGCAGACCCCAGCTGGTCTAGGGAGCTTTCTGCTCATGATTCCTGGGAGGAACCCGGCCTACCTGCCTTCTGGGGCCCCCAGGGACTTCCTCAGCTGGAGGGGGCTCCTAGGGATGTAGGTCCAGTGACCCTACAGAAACTGGAAGGCAGGAGGACCAGACTCCTGAGTGGCTTCTCTGAGGAGGCAGCTGTGGCAGGAGACTTAGAGCCAGGGTACAACTTACTTCAGGCAGGCTGGCCATTGTCATTCCCACGTGCCCCTTCTCCAAGACTGGGGTCCGAGTTGTCAGAGTCCTCCAGCCAAATCTGGGATGAGAACAATGAGGAGAACTTTGAAGAACCTAGCCCTGGTGTTGAGCCACCTTCAGGGAGCTCCTTGCCTGCACGTGGTTCCCTGGACATGGAAGACAATGGAGCATCCTATGCCACTCATACCTCCCCGGGAACTGGGGAGGAACAAGAAGCTTCCAGAACCTGTAGAAGCCCCACTGGGACATCGAATACAGGGAAAACCATGCAGATATCTCCTGTGGCCACCTTCACAGTGTTCCCACATCAGACCCCTTTTACTAATGACTCAACTCTGCCACTGTCCTTCTGTTTGGACACGTCCACCTCAGAAAAAACAGATCCCAGTAAAGAAAATATGCCTCCTGAGGAACCACAGGATGCTGACACTGGTCCATTCATACAAAAGAAGCCCCTACAGGCCTTGCCTGATCCTAAGGCCACCATGACCCCGAAGGCTCCTTCTGAGGACAAAGCTCCCCTTGTCACAGAGGTAGCCAGTCCCTCATATATAGAAGGCTTCCTGACTGAAATACTGTCTCCTGTGGATGAGGAGCTGTCTTATGGCAGTGGGGACCTTCCATCCTCCATCCACAGGGACGCTCATCTCCCTCTGCCTCCTCCAACTCCCCAAGCAAAGAGTGACATAAATGAGCCCAGCCCCAGCTCAGAAGACTTCCCTTCTCCGCCTGAGGAGGCCATGTTTCCAGGTGACTCACTGGACACCCTAGGAGAAGATATGTCCATTACTGCTGAGGATATGTCCTCCTTATCTGAGGGGGCTTTGGAGGAAGCCCTTTTTCAGGGTCCCCAGAAGTCAGGGCACTGCCTGAGAGCATCTGGGCACGGTGGTAGCCTGGATGACTCAAGTTCAATACCTCCCTTGAGTAATTGGGTGGTCGGTGCCCCTGATATGTCCCCAAGACTGTCAGCTCAGCCCCTGAGTCCATCCCCAATGGCTTGTGCGGCCAGAGAGAATCTTGCAGAGGCCTCAGGCAGTCAGGGTAGACCCTGGGAAGCAGTGCGGTGTTCTGAGGGTGCAGAGCACCAGCAAGGAATAGAACACCTCTTAGACAGAAGGGCAGCCACATCTTCACCCTCCTTGTTTGGACCCTCTGAAAGCCCGCCCGCAGGCCCAGTGCCCTCGGTGGTAGGTGGCCAGGATGAATCCCTTAAGCACACTAGTGCGAAGACAGAAGGCCAGAGCTGCTGGATAGAGAACCAGCCCAGGCTCCAGGATTTGTTGGACAGACAGCAGCTCTGTAGGAGAGACTGGGCTTTTGGCCCTGCCTCTGGTGCCTGTGTTGATTTTCCAGGGACAGGAGATGCTGGGCCACTGGATGTGGTGTCCACCCAGCTCAGCAGGAGGATCTTATGTGATTCTCTGGCTGCAGTGTCAGGGCTGACCCCTGGAGACAGCCCCTAGGCGATAGGAACTCATAGCCATCTGACATGCGACTGTGGTGTGTGTGTGTGTGTGTGTGTGTGTGTGTGTCTGTCTGTCTGTCTGTCTGTCTATCCTTTCTATACAAGGACCTGACTTGAGGGACCAGGTCTCCCCAATGTGGACTGTCATACAGAATGTTCACGCTGCCTCTGGCTGGCAGGATGGTTATCTGAAGCAGTCTGTTGATCTCATGGGTGAGAGTCTATCATGCCCATTACAGGCTGGCTCTGTATTTCCCTGGGCAGAGTATCCACACTTTCTATCAGGCTCTTGAGGGGTCCTAACCTCAGAGATTGAGGCATGTACATCAAAGGCTACATGGGATGGTGTCTAATGGCTGGCCAAGGAAAGCCCAGGAGGTCAGAGGCTCCAGCTAGAACTAGGCAGTGTGGGAGTCAGTGAGGCCAAGGGGGAAAATTAGTGTTGGAGACCACGGGGAGGGGGGAGTGACTAGAGTGCATGGAGGAACTGTCCAGGGCTTTGTCTCAGCCTGTGAATGCCCAATGTTCACCTACCATGACGTGTGTGTGTGTGTGTGTGTGTGTGTGTGTGTGTGGTATGTATCTGCTACATGTGTGCAGGTGTACTTGGATTCCCAGAAGAGGGAGTCAGAAGCCCAGAACTGGAGTTACAGGTGGTTGTGAGCCACCTGATATGGGTACTCTGGAAGAGCAGGGTGTGTGTGTATGCGTGTGTGTAAGCGCATGCCATGGTCCCTGTGTGGAGGTTAGAGAACAACTTTTGGGAATTGGTTCCTTCTGCAGTGGGTCCTAGGGATCAAACTCAGCTCATGAGGCTTGCATGGCAAGGGCTTTACAGGCTGAGCTGTCTATGTCCAGTTTGTTTGTTTTATAAACACTGGTTCTGGGAACTGAATGTAGGGCCTCATACTTGCAGGGCAAGTGCTCTATCAACTGAACCATCTCTTCGGTCCCATCTCGAGCTTGCTATGTCTCCTGTTTCCAACAGAGTGCTTCTGACTGAGGGACATTTGTTCATCCTATGGAGATGGGGAGCGGATACCTGGTCACCCTTGACAAACAAGGCCTAGAGCTTGTCCCCAGGGGCTGAGGGTCTCTCCTGCTCTTGATTTTTTTGCTCTCATGGGACTTTCTGAGACAATAATTTTCTCAGGAACACAGTGACTGGGCCCCGAAAAGACATGTTGTCCCTTATAGGCCTGGCTGACTAGACAAAGGCCTAGACTGCCTGCTTTCTTCCCTAGGGCCCTTCCAGGACAGAATGACCAGAGTGGTGATTGAGAGTGTGGGCAAGTGACACCAGTGGCTCTTGTAGAAGGGAGCAATGGCCTTTCTTCACAAGAATGCCGTTTTTCCTCAGGACACACATCCAAGGACTTGTTGATCCAACCCCGAAGGATTTGCTGTGTGGAAAAAAATCAAGAGGAGGAAATCTGTTTGCAGTGCCCAGGGCTTCATCCAGCTGGGGGTTGAAGAGATCCTGTACCCTAGACTCCTGGTAAGTCTAGGGTACAGGA